GTCAGATTGAAATTTCTGAATTTTATATTTCAATAAATTTGGCTGATAATTTGGCTGTTATTAGAGAATAGCCAAGTCCAATCGTTTTATGTTTATTTTTATAGTTAATTTTTTTAAAGTCACATGATTAATATAATATAATTTCGCTTAATATAATTTATAATTAATTTAACTATTTTATTTATTTAATTATTTAATTTTATCAATTTTTAATGAATTCTTTTTTATCAGATAAGTTTTTATTGTTTAAATATTTAGAATTTTTACTATTATTTTCAATTTTCTTCTGCAATAAAAATTTTCGCACCGTTTGTTTGATGCGACTTAAACTTGTAACATTATTCGAAAATGACTTGGTTTCGTTATTGCTAGTTTCTTCGTAAAAATACTATCGTACCATTTCCATTATGTTCTTTCAAATATTAATTTTTTGCTTAATTTCATGTTCTTTTTTTTTTAGTGAAAAGATCGTCTTTCGGATGGGTATAATTTTCTTCAATTCATCACACATTTTCCTGATATATTCCCATAATTTGTTATATTCCCTTAAAACCTTTCAAACTTTTTCCATGCACTGTTTTGTTACCAAATCTCCATAATTTTCCGGAAAATAGCTAGAAAAGAAATAGCATTCATAAATGAAAATTATGCTGAAAAAAATGGAAGATGTCATGAAATAGAATTTGTGTTATTTATATCTGCTGTCCTTGAAAGGACTCACAGCTGGAGTTTGTTATATTATTTTTCCTTTTGTACGGCTCCAAATATCGATATATATTAGGATTTCTTAATTTTTTTAAAACCAAAGAATTAAATTTTTCGGACCAATTATCGTTACTGGAACTTTTCCTGTAAGCTTTTCAAGGTTCCTAACGACTGAACTTTAGCATATTGAACAAACGCATAGCTTTCAAGCTCGTCTAATTTAATCATGTTATATTTCATATATTTTATAGAAGAATTCAACAAATTGATAGCGATTGAAAAGCTAGACAATCCCTTTAATTTTGGTATTTAGTATTTCCGAGAAGAAAAAATTTATTGTTATGCGTTGAATAAATAATGGACTCTCCTGAAGATATAAAGTGCAGCTGAAATGTTCATATTTCCTCTCATTTCCCTCTTATTCACATTTTCAAAATCAATTCGCAAAAATCCTTTAGCAAAAATTCGACAAATTTGTTATAAATTCCCTTCCACTTATCTAATTTTCACGAATTTTTTTGAGATTTTATTTATCATATTTTGTAAAAAAAATTTTTTTTTTTGATAAAAAATATATCAGTTCGCCGATTTTTCATAATAGAGAACAGGCATTAATAGAACTTTTTTCTATCATAAATTTTTCTCTTAAAAAAATATACTTCCATACGAAAGAAACCATTCATTTCAAAGATATCCAGAAATATTAAAGTAAGAATTTTAAGATTCATATTATCTATTGACTATCGATAATTGATAATAAATCCTATCATTGATAATTTCTATTAATAGTGATTCTAAATATCTATTCCATTGAAAGAATTTTTTTGTTGTTTTGTTCAAACTATTCATGCGAAAAGAAACCGATATATTGAATTTAAGAAATCTTATAGAATATTACAAAAAATATATAATACATTATAAATAATTTATATTGGCCTTTCTCCGTATTTGATCGTACTATATCGTCTCGAATGAGACTAAATTGTCAAAATTATTTGGAATTAATTTTTACTTTGATATAGTCTAACATTAATTAGGTGCAATAATTTTGGGACATCGATGCGGGAGTTCTATTCCCTGTAGGAGTGAAAAAAAACGCATAGCTTTCAACCCCTTCTAATTTAGTTGATTAATGCTGGTGTATCTTCATCGTCAACAGATTCTATGGCAAATTTATCTAATCCAGTAAGCCAATAGAGCGAGCCTAGTCAGCAAATGGAAATATTTTTAGAAAAAAAAATTTTTTCATAACTACATAAATAGTTGAAGCATGAAAATAATTGGAATGTGCTAATATATACATGTTGCTCTTTTGATTTTCTGTTGATTTTTTGCGATATTCGAATATTTATTAGTTTCGATTTTCATGAATTTAGAAATTTCGTTTTAATAATCGTTTTAATTTTAGTGAATAAAGAAATTGACCGTTTGAAATTTTTACTACCTTTTACTTCATAATTTTGTTGAAACTTAAAATTTTTTACGATTTGATTTAGAGTTATTAGATAATAATGAAATACGTTAAACCTCGATTAGTGTGGATAATGAATCTCATAGATCACTCTCCTCAAATCTTCGAGTTTAAGATATTTAAAAATTTTGAGGAAAGTTGTTTTTTACGCGTTACCAGCTTCTCGCAGATCTCAAACCATAAACCAAACGAGCTGAACTATGAAAGACTCCATTTTCGGAGGCGTAATGGGAACGGTTAGCTGATGTAAAACTCTTCCAAATGACCAGATTGATGAAAATGAAATTTAGTTGCAATGTTGGTTATCCAGAGAATCTCACGTAACTAAATTTCTTCTCCGATGCCAAAAGCATGCATTGGTAGAAAAAAGTCTATGAGGTCACAAAACGAATAAGTAGTACTTCATTGGCCTACCGAATTCTGATGCCAACCACAGAACATACCATTTTCTATATCTTTAGAATAAATCTTAGCATTTAAAGCTTCACACAGAGCCTATCTTTGTCACGATCATCTAATACACATACTCACGATGGCAGAAACAGAATTACCCTTTGAATTAAGCACAGGCTAACTGTCGCTAACAGACTGCTACACAGTCATTCTGTATCAAGTCGTTTCAGACAATCTAATGTATTTGATCTCGAATTATCAGAAGCCCTAATGACAAAACCAGTATCTCTGTTCTGCTCTAAGCCAAATAGAATAAATATTTGGGAGCCGAAGTGAAAAAGATGTTTTTTCCAACAACCAATCCATCTTCATGTGATATTTGGACAAAGTCTTGGCGGTCTGAATTTCGATTGTTTAGATATTTCACGCTGCTGTAGCCAAGGCCTGAAAGCGTATATATATTATAGCCGATTGAAAGTTGTTCATCTTCCTTAATAGGTTTTAAACAGTTTGCAATCGCTGGAATTAACTTATTCAGTTTTGAATCCTTTGAATTGTTTTAGGAGATGGACTTTGCATATTTTTCGCATGTGTCACTACCATGCACGTTGGAAGATGCTATGTAAGATGGCCAGGCTCTTCCATTACTTGAGCTTTTCAGTATCCAACTATTAGTTTATTACGGCAAGTTTACTTCTATTAAAAGGAAAAAACAGAAAAAAGAGAAATAAATCAGAGAGAAAATAAATAATAAACTACGGTAATAGAGAAAATAATAACATCAATTTGTAATTAATTTTAATTTTTTAAAATCTTTCAAATTTAAAATTTGAACTTTGCAATAATAAAATTTGAAGCTTAAAATAAATTTAATACAGAGATTTAGAAAAAACGAAACTTTGAAGAAATTTCGAAAAATTTCGGAAAAAAGTTGTAAATAATTAGTGACCATCATAATTTTTTTTTCCATCGAACAACACAATTTTCAATCTTAAAATTTTAAAACTTTAAAATTGTCAATTTTTTCACAGAAATTTTAAATGAGTATGAACTTAAAATAAAAATGATTAGAAATGATTTATTACTATTTAAATAAAATACGAACATATAATTCAAATTGGACTCCCACGAACCCCCTGAGAATTGCATGGACCACATAGGGAGTCCGTAAAGGACCTTTGACGACCAATGATATAGAGCTGGCTGGATGACCGAACATTTCAGGCGTAGACATAAAGAACAAAAGAAAAGTATTTCATCCACTTGTTGCTCAGGTATAATAACCACCTTAAATTATTTTTTTATAACATTCGGAAATGCAGCGAAATCAGTTGCTAACTTGTCGGTGATTTAACATTTTCGCACCAACCAATACTTGCATTAAATTTTTCTTTTTTCTTGCAAATTTAGAGATTTTATTTGAATGGCTCTTCTATTAAGGGAAATAAATGAATTTTTTGAGTTGCAATTCTCTTTTCAGAACGACTCTACTTTACTTTGATTTTTTCTATTTTACAAAAAAAATTGATGCTACTGCTTTTTTTTATTTTTCACTTGACTTGTATAATATTTCCATATCGCAGATTCAAGCATCTCATCATCTTATCATAAAATTGTTATCACCATTCAGTCATTCAGTCATATCAAATTATTACTTTAATTTAATAAGAACCTTTTTTTTGATTTTGAGCGTTTTTGTGTGGAGAAGCCTTCCCATTGTCTTTTTTTTGTTACGATTATAACAGAATAACGAAAACCAAGGTGTATTACCGCAGGACAAGCAGATGAACACCTACCGCTCAACCGTTAATAATACTAATTGTTATTCTCGAATTAACTGAACTGTGATATCGAAAATTTGAACCAAAACTAATTAGAAGATTTGAATTTAAAACTATTTATATAATTTCGATTATTTATTATCTGAATGGCTGAAAAAATCCATAAAATATAGATTAATTTTAATTAATTTTTTTTCTTCCATTTACAGCTGCTAATGAAGGAGAATTTATCGGAATTATTGATAAATTATCAATTATTAATTTTTTAATGTTCTTTTGGTGTGCACATTTTAAAATATAAATTTGCCAATAATTTATATTCCAAATTAATTTTGGCTATAGAATTATCGTGAATTTTTAATTTTTCAAAAAATTTGGGAATTTTTTGAATTTTTATTTTAATTGACAAAACTTTTTTATATTCTTTGTCGCCATTTTTCCTCATATTTATTGCATTAAATATGATTAAAACAATAAGCCTTTATTTTATTCAATAGTTTGTTTTCAGTAAATATGCATTAAAATAATGTTTTTTTTTGAAAAATTCTTAACTGCCATCTAGCAATATTGGTTTTTTTTTTTTTATTTTATAGTAGAATGCATTGGCTTACGAATATAAATTTTTCTTACAGGAAGCATTACCATCAAAAATGGTTGATCGTATATCTGATGATAGTGGATTGACTTCAGATGATACTTGGGAGAAAAAAGCTGATTTGATGACCAAATCTGCTTCCGAACTTCATAAAAGTGCATCTTTAAGATACCCTAAAAAGCCAAGTATTTATCGTGCTATTTATTCTTATATTATAATTTATTTTAATTATAAGAGTATTTTTTAGTATTTCATGTTGCATAGTTTCGTACGAAAATTTTGCAAGAAAAAATATAATTTTCCTATTTAGTATTAGCAAGATTTAATATTATTTGCATAAAGTTTACATGCACACCACATTTTTCATACTGTTTGGATATTATATATGATACATTAGTTATAATATAAAAGCAATTATCATTCGAAGCTAGTGATGATAAGGAGCCAAATGATAAAATTTTTCATCTCGTTATTCATGTTGTTCAAAAAAGGTTAAATTTTGGATTTAAATTGTAAAACTTGATCGCATTTGATTTCATCATATAATGCATAAAAAATTGAAATTACATATTAATTCTTCATTAGCTCACAATTTTTGCACTGAATTAGATCATGTAAAAGAAGTTTATCTTAGCAGAAGAAATTGTCAATAGTCCATTCTTTTATTTTGAAAATAAATCAACTGTGGAATAGAGATAAATTCAAGAAATGATAGATATAGCGCTAAGAAATGAAATGAAACGTCAATATGTCGTCTGTTTTTTGTTCTATTTCCTTCAGTTACCAATTTTATTATGTTTCCTTTAGAAAATTTTGAAAGAAAAGGTTTTTTTAATTTTTTAAATTATGATTAAAATTTTTCAATTATATTCATAATATACACAATGTGAACAATAAGATGAAGCCAAATATCCAAATATCGAATTAGTTGCAGTTGAAATATTAAAATTCTTAAAAATTTTTAGGTCGTTTAAAAAGCTCATCTCAGTCTCGAAATGACGATTGTGATGAAACATCGTCAACGACTGATTCGTCACCATGGGATGAAAAACTTAAGCCAGTGCCAATGCCTCGAGCCACTAAATCGAAATCGATTAGTGAAAAGGAGAAATCCACCGTTAGTATTTTAATATTAATAATATTAATTTCGGTTATAATCTCGAAAAGTAATTTTAAAAAAGAAACATGAAATTTAATACTAATTCTAAAATGAGCTTAGTAAATCTGGCTTTCGGTATAATTACTGCTTATTTTTCATCTAATAACACTAATTTTCAGATACAAAGGATTAGTCTGAATTCATATGATGATGAAAATTATTATAAGGACGATGAGGATGAAGTCTTCGACGAAATCGACTTTGCACAATCGCCAAATGAGAAGTAATAATGATTAATAAGTTAATTAGTTTTGATATAAGTATTTTAATGCAACATTATCCAACTTAGCTTAAAATATTCTTCTAGGATTCTGCTAAGCGAGAACTATAGTCTTTAAAGCCAAAATTACTAAAACTATAATTTGCAAAACCAAAATTAGTTCCACAATAATATTAAATATTTTTTGCTTTCCCAGCCATTAAAGAGATTTGCAAAAAATTTATTAAAAAATATTCTTCTGATCAGATTTTTTATTTTAGAAGATATAATTATTTTTCATAAAGAAATTTGTATTACTTATACTATTTGTATATGGGGAGTTTTTTTTCTGAAATGTTACATAAATTAGGATTTAATTTCTAAAACGGCAAATATCGATGGATAAATTCTAAAAAATTCGCTCGCTTTATGGGTCTTCAGTGATTTTTGAGCAAATTTATTGAACCACATTTTAATTTTTTAGAGATTGGAAAGGTAAAAGTTTGTTTAAGAATGACCTAACAACAAAAAGCTTAAGGATCACTGGCCTAAACCAAATTTCTACTTTAAGTAGATTTACACAACTCTTCTTGATTTCTCGCATTGCATTAAATTACGACTTTTAAATAATAATTCATTTTTGCAATTTTTGTAAAGGGAATAAAATAATATTCATTTTTTTGTAGCAAAATATTTATAATTTTGATTTTTTTATTTTTTAATTTCTATTACTTATAATTTTGTTCTAAGAATTGTGGTCACTTAATTTTTAGATGCTTTTCATATTTTTTTGACGAACACAGATCGCTGAAAGAATTCTATCACCTTATCAATATTTCTTTAATAATTGCAGTTTGTTTCGAATATAGTTTTTTCTATGACATTTATTTAACTTTTTAAATTGCATTTTTTATTCCAGAAATATGGTGGACTATGTTAATCTCAATGAAATGTTTTTAATAGGAACAAATGATTACTTGTCAAATGCCACTTCTCCGCCAGCTTTACCAGTACATAGGCCTCCTAATCAGTGGGTATGTATCTCCTTCTATATGAAATATATAGTTTGAGTACTTGAGTCTTAAAAATCTGAATGTTCTTGCATGTATTGACCTTGAGCTAAACTTATAGCTGGAATCCTCATTAAAAAGATTACTTCATTAGTTTATTAGTCTAAAAGCAAAATTCGTTACCAAAAAGCTTTAAGCACGAGTGATAAGTAAAGTTAGAAGCTAATATGCTTGTAGTGATGCTGTAACCCCAAATCGCAGCTACCGTTTACATCGAAGAGCTTTTAGCATTACGAAGCAAAAGTAATGGATTTTTTTAGGAGTTGGTTCCATAGCATAATAAAATTTTGAATTTCGATTAATTTTAATGAATCAATAATGTTTGAAGAATATTTTCAGGAAATAAAATTGTACCAAACCGCAGATCATTGCCTGAGTACAGTGCTTACTGATGAACAATTAGCTTATTGCAATTCGATGTTGCAAAAACTAAGTTTTGCTGATAATGTATGGCATTACTATTCGGTTTTTCTTTTATGCTTTAGGAAAATCTTATTACCATCAGATAATCTTTTATCAGATATTTTCAAAACTGTGGATATTTTTCGTTATTGCTTACAAAAATTCAGACCAGTGATTTGTGTTCATCACCATCTCGCAGATCAGAACAAAGTTCGTGTTGCTCACAGCGACGCCATAGCCACGAGATTACGGTGGTTGCCAAAGAATGCGACTATTATGTTCCACCTGATGCTGGGACTTATATTCGAGCTGCATTAATTGCTTCTGACGAAACGGTTTCTTCTAAATATATTTGAATGCTTGAAATTTAAATTTTTCTTAACCGTAAAATTTTTTGATCCATTGTTCATAAAATATCTTCCGCTATATCGTCTTAACAAGGATATTTTCCGAGATATTTTAACATATTTCCTTGTTTTCTTTTAGATAGAGAAATGTGGCTATCTTATCCAACTAAGTGATAGTAGATTGAAATCGCTAAAACGGCGATATTTTGTCCTGAAAGACGGATATTTAACTTTGTTCAAAAGTCAGGTATCCTTTCTTTTGCTTTATTTAGTTTATAATGCAGAGAGTTGTGCTTAGATTTAAATTTTATTTCAACTGTGGTTGGTTCCACAAAAGGAAAAATCTTTTGATAATGAATTAAATGGTATTATTAATGAAAATTAGTGATGTGATGCAAAATTAAGTTTTGCTTATTTTCATTTGACCTGAATTTTGGAATACTAAGTTTAATTTAACAATTGCTTAAGTACCATTCTATATTGTCTATTGTCGTTTTTGTCTCATTAATTTCATCTTCTTTATTCTTTTATGCATTTCGCTAAATTGATTTCTGGAAATATTGTCATGGACATAGCAAATTTTTGTAGAAAAATTAGCTACAAATACAAACCTTACTTATCTCACAGCATATCTATCCACCCATTTCAGAGACATAAGAATAGGTATGTATTTACGACGGTTATAAACTATTAATTTATTTTTTTAGAAGAATTTTTTGAAAAATGAAGAAGCTATAGCAAAAATTGCTATCGCCGATATTCTTTCACTTTCAAAGATCACAAATAAAATTGGCGTCGGCTTGCAGGCAAATTTCTTTTAACGAATTTATTTTTTATCTTATCCATTTTTTTTTTTCATCGTAATTTTTCCTTTCTAGTTGAATCCATTTTGTTTATTTGACAGAATAAAATTTGTTTGACCTGCATTTTCGATTTTTCTGCCTATTATTTTATAGTATTATCGAAATTTTTGAATACATCCACGTGAAAACTCTTCAGCTAAGGATTTATTTAAAAATTTTTTTTTAAAATTTTTTTCTATTCACGTCATTTTTATTGTTAAATCAATTTATATTGTTAAATCGAATATAAAAAAATATTTAGTTTCTCATTTTCTTTTATCGAAAATGACGAACAGAGGAATAAAACTTCGCAAGTTCCATCATTTCAGATTATCACATCGGGCAATCGTTATTGTTATAGCGGTGAATCAGATAAAGTTACCGATGATTGGTTTAATGCTTTAAATAATAATTTGCGTGCGAACACAATTTCTGAAGTTATTCAGAGGTGTACTGCACTTGATGCATCAATAAGTGGTTATGTCGTAAGGGTATGAATATTATTCGCTTGCTTTTATATTTTATATTTTGTATTCATTTTTTTATTAAAATTAAAAATAGAAATTTCACTAAAAAAAAATATTTTTTTCAGGCAAAATGCGGTAATTCCAAGAGATTCTTTGCGGCTGTTGTTGGAAGTAAACTTATTTTTTTCAAAAATCCCGATGACAAGGTATTTACCATAATCCAAGCAATATTAATCGAATTTGGTCTTAATATTGCCATCTAATTCACCTTATGTGATTTATTTCCTCATTCAATCCAAAGAATGAAAAATTGGTTCATTCTTTGATGAATTTTATACTAATTTTATTATTTTAAGATACCTTGCTCTCATATTCTGCTGAAAGGTGCTCATATTTGTGAAAAACCCAATGGATCGACCGATGAATACAGTGGTAGCTCAGATGAGCAATGTGAAAATAAAACTTCTAGCGATTTCGAGCATACTATTTCTATTGAAGTTAGTTCAATTCTTTCTGTATGACAGCAACGTCTTCTGATAGCTCGCATTATTACATTAGTGACTGGATTAGTTTTACTAGCTAGAAGAAAGAGAGCTTCTAAGTGTGATGATCTGATACGGTGCCTGAATGGTATTGAAGCCACTTTTTTTATTTTTCCATCTATATTTTCAAAATCTATTCTGTTCATATCAGTCCAGATTTTGATTGTTTCCACTTAATTTTGACGTAATTTATGGTAAAACTTACCAAGCAATAAATTATGGATCTGCATCAATCCCTATGTGGGCGCAAACAGCACGGCCTAACTAACTTAGGCGACATATGATACGGTCTGATGCAGATGGTATTCGACCGAAGGCGATTGCAATTATGTGAAATCCGTGCATATAAAATGCTATGTAGGCATGAATGATTAAAGGTAGGTAACTTCTTGGTATCTTCCACTCTCACTGGCTCACTGTTTTTGAGCATAACGCACACAAAAAATTGCCATATATATGCGAATTCTCTTTTTGGAGCATTTTCACGCATAATGGCTTCGTCCCAAGGCGATAAGTTGCGCTAATGCTTGAGCATTTTATATGAGAGTGGAGATAAAATATTTAAAATCTGGTTCTTTCTTAATCGGTAACGATGTAAAAAAAAAAATATCTCCTTATCATCTGCTAGAATTTCGTCGAAGTCATCGATACACGATAGTGTCCATTATAATTCATCACAAAATTCCTATCTTTTCCATTGATCATATTTGATGATGCTATTAGCAGTTGAAGTTCCACCTATAAGTTATTTTTGCATTTGTGTATAGAATGGGAGCAAATACATTGATGACAGAGATATCGCCATCAAGTCGTTAAGCCTGCTGCTAGAAGCTCATTTTTTCAGACAAGCGTATACCATTTCATATTCGAGTTATCCGAAACTATACAATATTACAGTCCAAAATCTATGAGTCAGACCTGAGGAAAACATACTTTCCGTAGACATTTTGTAGAACGTTTTGAAGATTGTCGCCTGGCTTCCAGCTTTCTTAAGCCTTCTAATAGTGAAACTATAACCCTGTAGTGTGCACAAAAGAGCAAATAGAAATACATAAGCCTTCCTTCCCCCACCCTTCCCTCTTACGAAATTTTTTTAAATAGTTAGTATCAAAAAAGGAGAGAAAATGAGAGAGAGGGAAATGCGAGAAAATTGAATAGCAATTTTCTTTTAAATCCAAAAAAAACTTTACTTACTACGGTATTAAGAAAAATTTGATTAATGTGAAATTTGAAAAATTTGATTAAAATGCAAGGGACGATTAATTAGCATAGGATTTATCAGTATCAATGCTAGAAACGGAGAGCACACAGTTTAATAGAACGGCAGTCATTCAACGAAGTTTTTACTACCGTAAACTTTTTAAATGAAGTACCAAAATGACTTTTCCTTATGATAACATAAAAGAGCAAAGCAAATAACCAGTTTCCATCGTTCATCTTAACATTTGACTCTATCCTGATTCTCTTGTAACGTATTTTAAAGTGGTCTTACAGGTTTCTGGTGCTGACCCGGTTTATATAGTGTTGAGAAGTGCAGAAGAAAAAGATAAGTGGATCTACTTTTTAAAAAAATCTGCTGACGAAGCAGTTGGGCGATCTTCACCTTTTGAAGCCTTCATTCAAAAACTTATGGCAGAAAATTCTATTCATGGTTGTTTTTATTCGTATTAATCCAGATTATAAAATTTGAGACTAATCTTAGAAATGCTCATATAACATTTGGAAAATGAGCTTGAAGCATAATTAATTCAATTCCAGAAAGTCCACTGTGGCAAGAATTAAAAAAATGTGATGAACGATGTAAAGAACCACTTATAACCACAGGTAGCAATACTTTAATAAAAAAGGCTGTCGAACTGGGTCGAGCTTGTTATATGTTTACATTTGTATTGATGAGACCTGCCGGTGTTCAGTATCATATCGACCTGGCTCAGAATATTTTATCAACTGCGGTTTCTAACGATTCGCTCAAAAATGAACTATATGCCCATTTGATTAAGCTTACTTCTGGTTCTATGGCTTACGGAATTCAAGTATTTCTTGATAAATACATTTTGTTTTTTGTATATTGCATTTTATAGTCAATATTTTACATTCATACTATTATGTCGCAGATAGCCAAAAGTGTAAAATATTTGCGAACTATTGGTCTCAATAGCTTGCTTCGCTAATTCTTTTTACAATTTAATATTTAGGCATGGAAATTGTTGGCATTAACATGTCCGTTATTTACGCCTCGCCAATATTCTCTTCTATGGTTGCTTCGTCGGCATATCGAAAGGTGGATGGCGGAAATGTAAATGCTTTTTTTATATTTTATTCTATCGATAAAATATTGGACTTATTTGATATGAGAAAGTAAGATAGAATTAGAATTCCAGTTGGAAATGGTAAAACGATGCTCGAATTGTCAAATAATTTGTATAAAAATTACGATTCAAGTTACTGCCAAAATACTTTAATCTTTGATTTCATTTTGATTTTCATTTTGATTTTCCACTTTCCTTGTATATCTTTTGCAGAAGCGATGAAGGAAGATTTGCTGTGTATTGTGAACGTGCATTAAATCGTTGTCTGAAAGAAGGTGATCGACTAGAGGGACCAAGCAAACTGGAAGTTATATCAATATTGACCAGAGATCCAACATCGACGAAAATGCCTCACAGTATGCCTGTACTTCTTCCCACTGGTAACTTTTATGTTATCGACTTCGACGGCTCAACAGACATTGGTGATTGCTTATCAGTATTGTGCGTTCAGTGTGGATTACGACCTGCTTTGTTAAGCGGATATGCACTCTATATAGAAGATGTCATGGAAGAAGGCTCTTATGTGCTTTTGAAAGGAAAACAAAAGGTAACGCTTGAAAAAAAACTTACAATCAATGGTTCTTATCTGGACAATTATTTTACTGAATCCAGAGTTAGGAAGATGATAAAGAAGCGATATCCATGCTGTACTTGGATAAATTATGAGCGATTATTATTCGTCTCCTTATCCACGAACACTCTAATATTTTATGCAACTATGGCCAAGACCTTGTTGTATGCTTATAGGGCATCTGATTCTGTTAACTGTTGGAGCAGTTCCTGCCATTAGAGAATTTGCATTATATTTGCTACGAGTTAGGGCAACTATACGAGTCAAGATCTACCATTTGAAAGTTACTTGACATTTTCATATATGCATTGTCATATATGCATTAGAGGATAATAGCAGAAGTGGGCCTTCAGCAGCCACCTATATTTGAACTTTAATTTGACAGGTTTACTCTTGTCAAGACTTCATCATCAGAATAATTATAAAAAATTAAGCCCTTTTCTCTTATCTCTTAACATTTTTTCTTATTCTTATTAATTATTTAATCATTGTTAAAATTACTTTAAAAAAAAGATTAGCAGCAATGTGTTGATAATCCTTCTTCCAATAGCACCCAGCATTTTTAGTTTGGCTGACTTCACTGGTAATTGAATGATAACCACTAGCAAACTTCACTCTTAACGACAGGTTTACTGCAAACGATAGAAGTAAAATCTATTATGCTTTGGTTTTATTTGAGGCAACATCCACGCGATAAAGAATCCTATAAAAAATCTAGAAGCGTTCATTTTCTAAGTTAGCACTAAATAAAGAGATAAACTAAAAGAAAATTTCTAAAAAAAATTCTTATATATTTTTAGCTTTGTGATTGCTTATCTCGATGGGAACGCGAATTAATAAGCAATAAAAGTGGTCGAGTGACCGATGAAAGTGCGCGAATTCGTCTAGTCTTACGTATGCGACAATACTGGAGCCATTTAGAATCATTTGAAACATCGAATGAACGAATTTTCCTTGTCTATCGAATGGCTAGCGAAATTGTGCAAGGAAAAGTCCCTGTGAGCTCCGAACTTGCTGAAGAACTCGCCGCATTATATGCTCAAGTTAGCCAAAAAATTTTACCTCATTTACATTCATAACATGTACTCAATTGAAAGTCAGCAGACAATAGTTATAGAATTATAGTAGAGCAATGTCCCTTGACGAATTATCAAAAAATCGCTTGTGGATTTGGTCTTAAAATTAATGTAACTTAATGAAGAATGTAATTTTTCTTATTACAGCTTGGCTTTTTCACATTTTAAATTTTATATTTTACATCTGCTTAATCCAATCGTACCATTTGAATATTTTTATTTGTTTATTTTTTCTATTTATTTCTATTTTATAAAATTTATTATCTTGTAAAATTATCATTATTATCATTAACTATCATTGCATTTTATCAGCTAAAATTTAATTTTCATATTTCGCATAGAAGTATAAAAAAATTATTATGGGTAATAATAATTATCGTATTCCAGATGATTTATGGTGATATATCGGATTGTATGACCGATGAACAATTCAAAAATATAATCACATGTTATTATCCAACGAAACTACTTGATATATGTTCTGAGCGGACTTTAAGGTGAATATTTTCAGGTTCATTGAAAAATTTAATTTAATTAAAATTTAATATCTAAATTATATAAAAAATTTGTTATATCCTTATCATTCCTCAAGAAATTTTTGATCATATTTTTAGGTTGAATATTGCATCGCATTGGACACAACTTCAAGGCACATCTGTTCACGACTGTGTTCGGATAATTTTAGTTGTCTTACGTAAATGGCGATTTTTTGGCTCATACGTTTGTGAAGCACGAATGAAAATGCATAATGGCGAATCGATTTTTATAGCACTGAATGATCAAGGTGTTCATCTTCTCACTTACAAGCAACTGGTAAGAAATATTCCAGCTTTTATATCTGTAATAATTTGCTTATTCTAGATAACCCATTTGTTGATAATTTTTATAAGGACAAACAAGCTTTTTTGTTTATTCCTAAATTTCGGCTTGAAAATTTTCATTTCCAAATTTATGTGACTTCATTAAAAAAACGGTTTAAGATCTAATTTAAATAATAATGAATTGTTTTCTGATTTATAGGATCTTATTCGAAGTTTTCCTTACCATAGACTGGTTTCGTTTGGTGAATTTCGTAATGATTTTATGGTAACAGTGGAGAGGGTTTTGCCACCTGCGGCTCATCCTGAAGAGACCACTAGAGAGCGACTAACATTTTCAATGCCATCGAAATCTATTCATCAGGTGAGAGGAAGAGTTTTATGAAAAAACGTTTCTGAGGCTTGTTTCTGTTGTTTCTAGATTTTATTTGCTTATTTGGATAATTTCCTAAATTGTTATGATGAATAATTTTATTTAAAAAGGCGATAAAAAGACTAGGCCATTAATCCATATTAACAATCGTTAGAAATTAAAATTATTTTTTAATTTAAGCTAACGTGCCATTTGTCCGAATATATACGATGCCAGAAACTTGTATGGAAACTGTCAACAAAAAAGTTGCGCTTTGCTGTCCAATAATTATTCGTATTACTATACTGTTAAAAAAATGATAAAAAATATCTGCCCCTTATATTAAAACCTTTGTAGCGAAGGCCGATTTTGGACTTACCTGATTTATTCGCTCATCTAATTGTTCAGGCATATAAAAATTTTCAAACTATCTGAATATTAAGCAAGTTTTTGCATAGATTTCAATTCATATTAAATTGATTATAATTACGATTATGATAATGACAATCAATAGCGTTATTTGTTATCAGTTATTATACCTAATGCTAAATTTTATTATTTAGTATATTTTAAGTTTAATTCTCATCATTCTGCATGCATATTAATCCAACAGACGATTTCCAGTGTGTTTCAAAATTTTGTTCCCTCTTTTCTTGTTATATATTATAATGCTTTTATTTTCATATATGAATAGTTATTTTGAAATTTTTTTTATAACGATATATTTATAATAAAATCTACCATTAATACATATTTATCTGTTAACATAAAGCCTTAATTATTTATTTATTTTTTTCTTAGCGATTAATTAAAAGGAAAACATTTGCCTATTTTGTTTTTTTATTCCAATTTATTATGGTTGTGCTATTTAATATGGTTCACGAAATTCTATTAATATTTCATATATTTTCATCAAATAAATTATCCCTAACTTTTATATAATTTATATAAAAAAATGGCCCAAATTTATATAAATAATTTTGTGAAGATTTTATGAATAAATTAGAATAGATCTCTTCGATTTTTTTGATAATTTAACGCCTCTTTTAGTTTTTTTTTTATATTTTATATTAGAAAAAAACACGATTTTTTATCGGTTGATTTTTTTAGTTATCTTATTTTCAATGATTTTTTTTTTTTTGCTATAAAATTGAAAAAAAAATGAATATTATTTTATATTTGTTTATATTAATAATGTGTATATATTTTATAACGCAATATATTTCTGTTTATTGTGTTTGGTGTGTATTTTGTACTGAATTCTTCGATAGAAAACAAAATAAATAAGTTAAAAATATAATTTTAGCGATTCGTTTAGAAGTTATGTCAAATGAAAAAAATTGGTTGACTAATCGTCGAATCTCAATTATTATGTTCATCGAGGCGTATAAATTGCATTCAGTCTGATTTTGAGTAGTTAATCAATGAAATTAACGTGAAATTAAATGAATATTGTTGAATCTAATTTATCGTAAATCATTTAGACTCAAATCATTATGATTACGGTGAATGATTGTTGATAATGTTGATAATTATGGATTGAAAACATAAATTGAATGAAGGGATTTGTATCAAAGTTTTAATTTTTTTTAATGCAATGCACTTTGAATCATCTTGAAAAACTTTACTTCATTTTCATTACTGATAAATAACTATATTATATACCCAACAGGAAATTGCATAAAATACTTATGTTAGCAAATTTCATGGATTTTTATATTAATAAAAAATTTTTTGCAAAGCATTAAATTAATCTGATTTTTGATCTAGTACATATATTATAATTGCGCTTATTTATTTATTGAAAACCAGCTAAGCAGGGCGATAACGCCATGTGCTTGTATTATTAACAACAGTAAAAATAACTAATAATAAAAATTAATAAGAAAAAAAAAGAAAATATACAAGAATTAGCAATCTAAACAGAAATTACAAAATAATGTAATATACTACAATTCGAAGTATCTATATTATATGCAATCGGATGGTAAAAATCGAGATTTCATACTTCCTGCATGATGATGTATATGTGATTAAATAATATCATAAATGATATTATCTAATCTTTTTTTAAAGATTGCTAAGCATGGCGCATAAGCAATATTGTTCGGTAATTGATTATCAAGCTGGAAAACTGGCTGTAGTAGATTCAAGGAATAAAGCATTAACAGTTTTCTGTTGAAAAGACCATTGGAGACCAATGCTAGGATTAGATATTTAATCCTGAACATTTTTTTCAAACCATTTATGTATATTGCGGAACTTTTTTTTATCTTCGAATAAAATAAGTGGTACAATCTATTTATATTTGAAAATTGTTTTTGTAATCGGTCTTTTTCATTTGTTTGATTACTTAAAGCCAAAAAATAAGAATTGTTCATTGCTAATATTTTTTGAAGGCATTAAATTTGTTATTGAATTTTCTGAATTATCGAAAATTATAATTTTTTTTTAATAGCGAAAAACTAATCATTTACGTCAAATGAAAAATTCGCAGGTGTTTTTTTGCTCAATTGATGTTTCTTAATTTTTAATCAACGTGAAAAGAAGTAATACTTATTTCGCAAAACTTCTTGTTTCTGCGATATTTTTATAATTAATTTGTTTGACTTATTACTTGTTTCAATGAAATGAAATATATAGATAAATCAGGAACGGAAAAATCAGAAATATTTCCGCTTAGAAGAGTGCCATACTAAAAATACTATATTGCGCAAATAAAAAGACCTCTGGCGAAAAACCCAAAAGCTGAGGAAGATTTACCATTTGCAATGAAAGAAATTTTTTTAACCGCAATTTTCAATGCAAATCAACTAACATTTTTTGAAATCGAATATAAAAACATTTCATAACATTTCAATTCAGTCAATGCAGTTTATCAATATTATCAATATAGTTTATCATCAAGGTGAATGATAGAAATTTAAAAGAACATATTAAGAAAAACTAATATCTTATTTAAAATATGATTTATGATCTGTTTCTTTTTTTGTTATCAGCACTTTATAAAAAGCAAAAAATTAATCAATCTAATCGAAAATTTTTAGGAAATATTAAAATTATTTTTTTTGCCCAATTCTTTTGGCGGCATCATTGCCAAAGGGCAATATAAGCCGATAATTTTCACGTAATAAAAGGAAAGAGATAAATAGCAAAATTAAATCGCTGCGATGCATTCATGTCTAATTATGCTATAGCTATTTCTAATTTAATTCTTTAATTGGTTCTTTGGTGCTTTAATGAAAATTTTTGTTGATTAAATTAAATTAAATTAGTAGCAATGTGAAGCGAAAATTTTGATCAATTTTGAATTATATGTCAAAAAAAATTTTTTCATATCATAAAATGAATAATTTACAAAAAAAGATTAGAAATATCCCATGGATGCTTAAAAGATTAGCTCAGTGGGTTATTGCATTCATTTCGAAGTATCGAAGTTGGAGTTCTATTTCCAGCAAGTTTAAAAGTACCTTTCGAAAGACTAGGTTACCTGACAAAATTTCCGATCCGATAAGCCAGCCAAGCGAGTCTAATCGCAAATGATGAGTTCTCTTAGAAAAAAGTTGAAAAGACAAGGTAACACTATTTCTACAATTTCTATGTGACATAAGATTTAAAAAATTTTTGCGATTATTCAACAATAAATAAAATTGCAAAATATGCTTCTCTTGTTTTGCAGTTTTGCAGTTCCATTTATATAAATTCTGATAGAATGGCTCAGTGGGTTGTTGCTCGATTGGAAGCGCTGGCGTTGAGGTTCGATTCCTCGCAGGAACAAAAATCCGGGTGATGCTTGCGACGACTCATCTGTATTCCTATCGCCAAGGAATTCTCTGGACCAATGCGACAAGCCAGTGGAACGAGTTTAACCAGTAATGGTGAGGACTCTTTAAAAAAAAATGTTGCTAATTAGTGAAAGCTACAACTAGAAGAACGAGCTTCGATAAAAATCGGCAATATTGGCCTAAGCAAGCTGAATATGTTATGGTTTCTGGTAGCTTGCCGGAATCAGCTTTGCTGAATCAACAACTCATCAGCCGATTTTGGATAAAATAAATAAAATTTATTTTTATATAACTAATATATAGACTTCGATTTAAGCAGAGGCTTTTGGTGACATCTATAGTTTGCTTAAATAATTTTTCGATTTCATCCAGTCGTAAAATTTATTTAACTAATTTCAACCAATTGGATTTCTTTAAGCTTCGTATTTCTTAATTCTATGATTGGTTATGGATATGTTTCCACTAGATTTAATATTTTTTTTTTATCACATAAAATCAAACATAACTAGGAAATTTATGGTTGTATAAAAGTAGTTTATTTTTGTATTTCCACAGCTGTTTTAATTTTATAAGAGAATGGCAGCTGATAAATTCATATCCATTTGGATTATTTATGTCTTATTCAGTGATAATGCTTTTTGCAATTTTTTTTGCTACGTCTAATTTAAAAATATTCATCTTTTCATTCCATTTCCGCAATAATACTATGGCACCCCTCCTCTTACCGTGGTAATAGTGCTTGGGAGAATAAGATACAAACTTAAGAGAATTGTTGCTGAATAGTTTGGAAAAGTGAAGATGGAGGATATGTTAAAAGACCTCAGCAACATTTGAATGTATAGGGGAACCTGCGACATATGGATTTAGACTATGAGAAAAGGAATAGCTTCTATTATTATCAGCAATGACTGTCGTCTGAGCTTGGAGATGTCTTATTCTTGTAGTCAGCGGAACCAGCCTAACCACTCAAGAAAAAGAAGAAAACGAAACCTTGTTGTGGAGAAATTAAATCTGGCTAATTGTTTAACCAAGAAAGACAGTTCAATTTCGAAAATTTTTGTCAAAAAACTAAAACAAAAAAATTGCTGAACGAAAAATTATCAGTTTGGTAAAAATACTGAGAATAATCGCGAATAGATAAGCGAAATCGCTAAAAAAAAAGTATTCGCTAAAAAGTAAAAGTATAAGTAAGTAAGTAAAAGTAAAAGTAAAAGTAAGTAAAAGTAAGTAAAAGTAAAAGTAAAAAAGTATTCGTAAAAGTAAAAGTAAAGTAAAAGTAAAGTAAAGTATTCGTAAGTAAAAGTAAAGTAAGTAAAAGTATCGCTAAAAAGTAAAGTATAAGTAAAAGTAAAGTAAGTAAGTAATATAGTTATTTTTTTTAAGTCGGGAATCATATTGTGCTATCATCTTTTAAATTATGTGAAGAAAATTATGCTCAATATATTATTAGCAATAGCGATGGTAATTGCATTCTTATCCTAATGAAGATTATTTAATGAAAAATGTAAAATATTTTTTTATATACTACATCATTATTCTCAGTTAATGTTGTTATTCTCGATAATTTGCCATTTTTTAGTATTTTATTATTAAATATTTTGCTCGCAATTTCGAGATTTTAAGTTTACACGATTGAGTGGTCATTATTGCTTGAATATGAATAATAATAGTACAATGTTGATGTTTAAGAAGTGGTTAGGATTGCTATAGTTTGGTGAAAAAAATGCATTAAGTTCGAATAGCTTTTAATATTTGCCGTTCTCTAAATATAATTATTATAAATAATAGGATATTTTTTCAAAAAAAAAAGAAAAAAGTCTATGAAATTTTACCAAATCCCGTAAGCTTACATAGGTAATTCGTAATTCTATTACTTTGATTTTCATATGCCAATTTATTAAAACGCCTGAAATAAGATAAAAAATAATTTTGCTAATCTTTGATTTGCTAACAATTCTAATAAATATGAATAAGGAGTAAACTAAGATTTCCTGAAAATTTTCCATTTAATACTTAAGAAGGCAAGATAATTATAAGAATTTAAAAAAGCCAACGAAATTCATTCATTTTTATTTGCAGTGCAATTCCGGCCAAAAGGCTATCGCTAACTTTAGAATTCAAAACTAGAAAGTAAAATAGTACCAAAAACTAGAAAGTTTATTATTAAAGTTTACATTATTAGATTATTAAATTATAAATTTTTTACTTCATTGTATTTAGTATAATTTGATTTATCTATTCAAAATTATATTTTATTATTTTTTAAAGGAAATTTTCATTAAAAATAATTTATTAATTCACTTATAAAACTGCACAATTTAAGTTATTTTTTATAAAACACGATTCCTTTTTTAAAATTCTTTAATCGTTTACCGATGAAAAATGCATTTAATAGATTTGAATAGTTGAATGAATGTTCAACTATTCTACGGGAAAAATGCTGAAATAGCATTCCTTTTCAAAATTCTAATAATAATTTTGAAATTTACTTCGAATTTTCATATTTAAATTTTATATATGCCTATGCTTGAAAATACAAATCAAATTGATCAATTTTATTTATTATTTATTTATATAAATAGATTTATTATTGAAACTAATTTGAATTGCTCGTTTATTAGAGAAGTCTAAATTATTCTTATCATAGTCTTTCATTTCATCTAATCAACTTATGACCAAAATATTTTTCATTTTATTTTAATTTTAATTTAATTTGTCCATTTTAACATTTTTTAAATGCAAAGTACATCAGAAAATATCGGTTATCAAAATGTTTTTTCTTGATAAACTTTTTGAAACTTCAATTTTAATCAAAAAAATACTTTTATTTTATCATTATTATCATTAATTTTGTTATTCATGTAAAAAAAGCCTAATTTTATAATTATTTAGTAATCTTTGTGATTAAACATTGTATTACTATTTTATTCTCGAATAGGCTTAATTTTATGGCTATATTAATCCAACGAACTGAATTGCAGCATCTATTATGTATGGTGATAAAATTTTTGACGTCATTGCCATATTCAATTCCTTTTTGCATCGATAAATACTTGAAAAGAAAAGGTCTTTTTATGTTTTTATGCCATTTTTCTTGAAGAATTTTAGTGCTAATTCATTAAAAAAAAAATAGCGATTTTAAAATAATACTACGACTGCAAGAATTTCGCTTAATAATGATGCAATTTTCTTTGAATTGAATCGTTTGTCTTATTCTATTTTATTGTTTGATGAAGTTGAACCACGGAACCAAATTGACGTTTTATGGACCTTGGTGAACTAAATATTTCGAGTGAACCACATACCGACTTCTTGCACAGTCTCGACCATCTTTAATTTTTATAGCAGCGGTAAATTAGAAAAGAATAATTTTGGGCCTATATAAATCATTTATGGTGATATGTTTATTATACTATGGACGCTGGCCACTTATGTTTTGTTTTATTCGTGAAATATGCTCATTTTTTTTTGATCCAATATAAGACAGTGATGTGGTCCAATCGCACAATGCTTTGATTGAGAGCAACTAATATTATTCGGTCCTGGTGTGAACTTGAACTTGTCATTATAATCCAGAATTCTCGTATTTGCCATGTGCATGTAGCCTAACTCTAAAGAATTGTTTGACGAAATAAATATTAAAGTGATTTAAAAAAAGTGGTTAGAGCTCACCATTTTTGATTAAGCAAACTCCATATTAGAAGATTAAACTAGAAATTTTTACTAAGAAGTCAAAAGTGAATCGCAAGCACACCACCTGGATTTTTTGAAAAAATATTTCTGGGGCAGGAGCATGGAGGTGAATCCTTAAAATAGTCAATGTAAGCATTTTTTTTAAAATAGTTTTCACCATTGCTGGTTAAACTCGCTCCACTGGCTTGTTGCATTGGACAAATACGCCAGAGCAACCCTGGGCGATAGAAATACAGGTGAGTCGCCAGCATCACTTGATTTTTGGATAGATTTATTTCTGCTTGGAAAACAGAACCTTAGTATCGGCGCTCCGAATTGATCAACAACCCACAATGCCATTCTATCTACCAATATAAGCAGTTAAACCAGAAAGAATGATACTAAAGAAAGATGTATGAATTTACACAATGCTAAGAATACTATTTACTTTACTATTTTGTAAATGCCTCTAAAAAATACTTTTGAAGTACGTTTTAGTAATTTCCTCTTGGATTCTCACCTATGTCACGACGTATGTCATAAAGAAATATGAGGAACAAAAAGATGAAAATTTTTAAAAATTTGTTGACTTTGTAAAATTAAAAGCATTATCTACATTCAACTTCAGATCAAAATTTTTTGCTTATTTTAATGAGCTTTGGGACATCCGTTTAAAAATCATCAAAGTTAGGATTGCGTGATTAAGAAGCCCCATACATTATTTTCCTTTTTTTTCCGGAAAATGTCTTATTCTTTGGATTCTAAACCAAAGCCCACATGTCTGGAACTTCATCAATTTCATCTCATTTTATCTTAATATTCAATCTTATATGAAACATCGATTTAAAAAAATGGAAATATTTCTTTAATGACAATTGTTTTAGCTGAAAATTAATTTGTCCTCGTCTATATTAAACTTCAGAATGAAATGGATAGTCAAAATTTATTGGCATTTATAATTCTCGCAATCGTTATAACTGGAATTTTTGGAAATTTTATATCAATTATTATATTTTCAAGAGCCCATATGCGTGCCTTGCCTGTAAATATTTTACTCTGCGCTCTTTCAACTGTTGATCTCGCTCTTTTATTATTATCTATTCCAGTTTTTGTTATTCCTGGTCTGGAACCATGGTTAGCTTATTTCTGCTTATTTTTTTGTCTTTTTATTTTAATCTAGCAAGAACTAAGTATTTTTATCATTAACACTCGAAAACGGATATAAAATAAATAGATGCAATGGTAGTGCCATTTCATTTAGTCTTTGTATTGTGCTATAATTTCTTCCATGATTAGAATTGGCCAAGTTTTGGTTCAGATAGATATTATATGCAAGACTCATCGATAGAATAGCGAAAATTTCACAGAACCCTTCATATGAATGATTGTTATATAATTAGGCAGCTTATGAGATTTCTTGAAGATTTTCTAAAATATCGCCTCAACGCATCTCAAAAATTTCTTAATAGTTTTTTAATAGTTTTATTTATAGTTTTTTTAATAGTTTTATTTATAGTTTTTTATTTCTTAACTTGTGATTTAAAAGTTAAGTAAAAAGGGCTTCTAAAAAAAACTTAAGGAACAAGCCACCATCTAGGATCCAATCTCTACCATTTTCATCCAAAATTAACAACTCTTCACTGTACAAATGATAAAGCTTTTCAGGGGAGAGAATGTGTCTGTACTTTATGAGTATTATGCATATATGCTTAAATTTGTCTATCCAATCAATCTTATCATGCAGACTTGTAGTATTTATATAATGGTTCTAATAACTATGGAAAGGTGGTCAGCTGTTTGCAAACCTCTTCAGGTGGGTTAAAGTACTTCAGCATTCATTGACGATAAATGATTGTTTAAAGTTGTGATGTCGAGAAATTCTAAAATGAACGAGATTTTTTATTGCATTTTAAGGGAGTGTAATGACATTTAGGGATGGTGTTAGGATAACTTGATGGAGTCTCAAGCTGCTGCTGAATACAAGGTAATTTAAGAGGATATTAGGAGAATAAAATGAGCTTCGATAAGATAATAACGGCTAAAAGTAGATGAAATAAAATGGTAGCGTGCGAGGGATTTAAGAGAGGAGAAAAATCGAGTTAAGCAGTTCAAATGGTTTTAAAAGGAATTCAGAGGAGTGCAAGAAAAAGGAAAGGTCGAAATTTGACCAAATGCAAAAGGAGAATGAACAAGGAATGGAAGCTATTAAAGCGAATTTTGAAAAATAATAGGAAATAGGACAGGAAATGAACATAATAGGATTTCAGTGCATGTTGTGGGAAAGACTTAATTTAATTTTGCACCGCCAGAGTATCATTATGCTAAAAGCTTTACCAGTGATTCTTTCCAGGATCTTTTTTAACGTAATTTATTCTCATATCATAGAAAAGGGTTTTCTAACTATTAAAAAAAAAAAAAAAAATTAGCCAATTTTGCGACAATTTGGCGATATTGCATTGCGCCAAATTTCCTCTAATTCCTTTCATTTTATTTGTTCATGATGAGTTTATAACATTTTTCTCACTTTTTGCTCAGATGTGAAATGAATTTTTGTGATTTTGATCAAATCTTGCAATACTATAACAATAGGCTTTGGCTTCCATACTGATGGCAAAAGCATAAGCGCAACGATCGAGAATTGCAAAGACCGTTTCGCAATAAAAAATAAAAGACTACCAGGTTCCATCATTATTATACACGAATTTATTCAACTGAAAACATATCACAAGCCACTCATCGAATTATCAGAGAGTATCTTAACGATATCTAGCGGTGAAAGTGGTTCTGATGTGAAATTCTCATCCTCAAGAATCCTGAAGAATAGAATCGAAAAGTCTGACACCTCGTTGCAATATTCTCTCTGAGAACTTCCAGCACTGTATGGGATTACTTATAAACTATGCCTATCGGTATACAAAATTAGAAATGGGAATACTTTTGTTGCTTATTTTTTCATTAAGTTGAAAGAATATATTTTTTCCCAATTTTTCTTCACTAAAATCAAATATTTATCGAAAAAAAAGTGTTTTTGGAATTTTCGAGGATTATTCCATGAAAATATCTCCTTCAAATAAGTCTATATTTTTTTTATACTTTTATATTTTTATTTTTAAACTTTTTTTTTTTACTATATTTTTTCTTTAACATGAAATATATTTCTTTATTTCTATATTTTTTATCATCGCAATTTTACCTGATGCATAATAAAATATGTTCATTTTTTTCGAAAATTTTCCTAGAATTTCGAATAGAACTAAGAATATTATTGATGTATAATGGAAAATTTTAATTTTCATAGGTTAGAATATGGTGCACAGCTAAGAAGTCACGAAACGCTGTTTTTATCATATTTTTATGCGCTATTTTATATAACATTCCAAGATTTTTCGAATATACAATTGAGTAAGTAATTTCAACGAATTTTTCCTCGTTTAAAATAATTTTTACTTTTTATTTTTTGGATTATTTGATTATCATAGCGTTCAACTCATTCAAAAATTCAACTTTGACAAAATTTATGATTATTTCAAACAAATTGCTATAAATACTATAAATTTGCACTATTATATTTTTTATGTTTTATATTTTAAATTATATTCTTTAAACTAAATTATGAGTTTTCTAAGATTTAGGAAATTAATTTTGTTACAAACTATGAGTTTTGCAAAATTATAAAGTTTTATTCTTATTCGTTCAAGTTGTCATTGACTTTTAACTGAAGATTGCAGAACAGCAGATAATGGAAACGTAATATATGCTCGAAATCTAAGAGATCCTCATCTTTATCCATATTATATGATAGGATACTTCACTACATGCTATTTAATAACACATTTCATAGTACCATTCGGTATTATTATCGTTATGAATCTTAATGTTTGCTGGACAATGTTTGCGATGAGTCGAATTCGCTCAGATCTAACTCATCAGGTTCACTATAAAAATTTTTTACATTATCTTATCCACTGATAATGATAAGATCATTTAATGTGCGATAGATTTGGGTAGTTATTTCTTATCTTTTGTAGCCTCAGGAGAAGCCTTAACTTTCTTGTTTTTTTTTATCTAATAAAAATTAACTATTTTAAAAAAACTGGAAATCATTATTTAATTTAATAGCCAAATTATTTTACTATATTTTTTTTGGTGTGAATGAATATTTCCTAGGGTATTTACGAGGAATAAAAATCGTATGAGATTTGATCTTATCTATAATTACGAAAATTAATTTTTCTTTTTTCAGCAACAGCGCGAGAATAGTACAACAATTATGCTTCTTGTAGTAACGATATTATTTGCTAGTTGCAATTTATTGCCATTTGTTCTCAATCTTATTGAGTGTATTATACCTGATTTTTTCACCAATTCTAATACAACGAAGTTAGCTTATCAGCTAAATGATATATCAAATTTACTGGTTATTCTTAATTCGGCTATAACTTTTATCATTTATTTTATATTTAGTGAAAAATATCGCAAAACACTCCAAATGCTGAGGTAAGTGGTTTATTAAAATGATCTTTTGAAGGATATGTTCCATGGATAAATTAAAGATAAATTCCAACTAATTTATGAATATAGGAGTAAAAGTTGCGACGGATGACAATATTCGCACAGAATTAATGGAAAGATAAGCAAATTTTTTATCACTTAAGAGGTCATTCTCCTAAGAGTGCAAAAAAAAACAGAGGCTAAATGAATGGTCTCCAAACTGACTTCTATAGGTCCCAAGGGGTCCATGACAACTTTCTGGGGGTGGTGTGCGGGAGCCTAATTCGAATTTCTATTTTATTTGATATGCAGATTACTATATTTATTCAAAAACCTTAGGTGAAAATGAAAAATATTTTAAAATTTAAAAATATTTCACTTAGGAATGCATAGATTTTTATGATACGCTGATAATCGAACTGTCATCTATTCGCATAGATTAGCATAGATTTAATATTTTACAAATTTAGGTGCAAATACAATTGGAATTGTCAAATGCAGCAGCATTACTATCGAAATGAAAGAGCAAGAGCATCATCCTTAACGTTACAAAAGAAAATATCGTCACCACACACGAAATCAAAAGAAATTTTAATGAAGACATGTTCTCAGCGATCTATAATTAAATGCAATTCAACAAATTTGCTTGATCAAAAATTTCGCGATTGTTTAAACTCATATAATAATCATAATCATATCAGTTTTTCGAATCAATAAAATGGTACTTTGTAGAGTTTATTTAAATGAATGGCCTTAGTATTGATTTATTCCCGCATTTTATGAAATTTTTTTCGATTTTTTAATTCTAATAATTCGTATCATAAAAATCTAACTAACTATGGAATAAAATAACAGAATAACTAAAATAATAAAATAACAAATAGCTAAAATAAATTTTTCGACGGTACAAAAATATATATTAAATGAAATTTGGTGTATGTAACTAGAAAGCTTAAATTTATTATACTTTAATCAAGTTCTGGCTAAAGACAACTTGAGGGTTTTGCAAAGCAAAGGTGACTTTCCAGATTTTATAATAATAAATTTAAAAATAGCATTTGAGGAAATCTTAAGTGAATAAAGATCATTTTGAACGATCGGTGTGTAGCTTATAAGGTAGGCTTTACGAGATATCGTAGTTAATAATAAATAAGGAAAAGAAAATTTAACGGGGCTTGAGAGGATTTTAAAATACTAAAACGGTTTCTGAAAGAGTTAAGGAGACACGATAAGGTATTATGAAGTATTATTGGTTATTTATTTAATAAATTTATAGAATAATATTTTTATAACGAAAAACAATTTTTCAAACAAAACAATCAAAAAAATTCCTACCACTTTTTGTTGAATGGCTTGTAATTTGCCAAAAATAGATCAGAAGAAATTTTAGCAGCACCAGCCTTTAGTATTCGATTGAATTCTTCAGCTCCAGACAATATGGCTTTTGCGCTTGTATAAGCCAATTGCCCAAATTTCACCCCGACATCATATGCTGATTGTTGCATTGTCTCTCTATAATTTTGTAAAATAAGTCTTGCTGCAAAAAATTATGGTGCAAAGTGTTTGCTTAATGGTGCAAGAATTAAAAAATTTCAAGCAAACTGCTGGTCTGTTTTACTATGAAATTAAGTGTAAATGATTTTATGAAGTGATATTTTCAGCAGTTTCAGATGAATTTTTTACCTTTCTCTAAAGATTTACTTAAATAAGGATCACCAACACCAATCACCAGTGATATATATCACTTTAATCACCAGTGGTATGTATCACTTTAATAATATGTCTATTCTTTTCAAGGAGAGAGAAACGAATCATCGCCTTTTAGCCTAAATTGTGAAATATATCTGAATAAATATACCTTTATTATTCAAGAAAACCTACAGGTCCAATCAAGAGAGCCATTCAAATATTCGATTACCATGTTTTATCATTGTCTTTTGTTTTTTAAGAAGCCGATACAACTGATAAAATTCTTCAATTTGGTGACTTAAAAATTTTATCAGAATATAAAAAATGCTTCAATTAAAAACTAATTATTGAGTACTCATTCGACTGTGGAAAATTTGGTTCATAAAAACCATTATTTCGTTCGTTTGGAATAGATTCTCTTCGTCCATTTACAATTTCGTCGTTAAAACGTGGCTCGGGAGGTCGTTGATTTGAAATCTCAGCTAATCGAAAAATTTCTTTCAGTTCAACATCACTATACCCGCGAATTTCATGCAATGTTGGTACATGGCTTTGCGAATACAGCTGAAAATTTGTTCATTGTTTAACATAAAAAATTATGATTTTTCTATTATTTTCTATTATTTTATTACTATTTATTATTTATCTATTATTTATCATCTAAGAATTAAAGGAATTGTCTTTTTTTTGTATTAAAACATATCGTCATATTTTCTTTTTTTTTTTATCATTAATTCTTATTATTTTAACTGTTGTTATTAATACAAGCACATGGCGTTTGTCGCCCTGCTTAGTTCAATAAATAAATAAATAAATAAATAAATAAATAAATAAATAAATATCGAATAAAAAGCATTTCTGCTTAGATTAATCGCATAATTTCGTTCATTTCACAAAAAAATTTAGTCCAAATTGGTTTTTTATTCAAAAATTTATATACAGTTTAATAACTATAAAAAACTATCGATTATCTTTGCGGTATTATAATGAAAATGACCGAATAAAAAATTTATTTTTATAAATTTTTTCAAAATTTTTCCAAGAAATCTTTTTTTAATTTTTACAAAACAAAAACAAATCATCGCCATCGAGAGAAAAAATAATTTTTTATCAATAAATTATCTCTATTAATTCGCTGTAATCATTTTATCAAAACAATTCCAACTAGAAAAGCCTAATTAAATAAACTAACCATTTTCTCCAAAATAGATAATTTTTTAGGCAAATAAATTTTCTCTTTAAATTAGACATTTTAACTAAATTATTTTTATTAATTACTTAATTTTATTCTTATAAATATAGAAAAATTAAAATTTAACCAATACGATTGAATGAAACCAATATAAAAGAATGATTTTGTGTCGCATGCAATGTCCGTTGAGATTGTTCGAATGCCTAAATAATCACTTGTCGATTTAATTTATATACCAAAATTTCGTTATAGAACCAGAAAGATTCGTTGAAAAAAAAAAAGCAACCAAATAAAAGGAATTATTTTGCTGAGATTTTTATTTTCAAATATTATCATTTGCCTTTATAAGCGTTCAATGATTCTATTCTCGTCAATAGTAAACTTGTAAATCTTTCTAAAATTCGAGTGATAATCGAATGATAACGGCAATTCACCTATATTTCTATCGCCAGGGTGACATTTTGTCTGATCCGACAAACCAACAAAGCTTGAAATTGATTTGATAAAATGATTACATCGAATTAATAGAGATAATTTATAGATAAAAAAAAAATGATTTTTCTCTCGATGGCGGTGATATGTTTTATAAAAATTATTAAATTATAAAATTGTTTTATAAAAATAGATAATTAGAAATAAGTATTTTTATAAAAAAAAAAATGAATGGATGATAAATGATCGGTTATCACTGGTTTACAAGATTTAAAGATTTGTAGCGAGTTTTGATTTTTGCATTAGAATTCAGCTGAGAAAAGAAACAAAGTATTTAGTCGGTTAAAATAATCCCATCGAAATTGTCTTATTATTCCTAAATTGATATTAAGTTAAAGTTAAGAAAATACTATAGCCTTTGACAGTTGGCTATCTTGAGAACTTTCCTAGTTCGCACGGCCTTTTCCATCTTAATATCAATTTTGCGGTGGTACTATTTAAGTGAAATTTATCACACTGAACCAACCTTTATTTAAAAAGCAGAATGGCTTGATATGTTGCTCTTACTTTAAGGAATAGATACAGGAATTCTATTCTCCTAGGAGTAAAGACCTGTCTTCCTTAATGGTACTTAAGAGTCGTCATACGGACCGACAAATCATAATTAAGCTTTGTTCTCGGATGAATTTGATTATTTTAGAGATCAATTCTATGCAATTTTACCACCATTTGTTCGTCTGAAATTCTTGTCTATATGAGTAATTTCTCTAAAAAGCGGTCATTGGAATGTGACCCCTCGGTCAGCTCATCGTCGCACACATGGCTATAGCTCCGTGCAACCTGTAACTCGAACCAGTTAATACTTATAAAGCACTTATGACGCTCCGCAAACTACATGCGAGACTCTAACTAATAACGAGTTATCGCTTATTTAGCGAGAACGAACCGTCTATCGTGCCGAACTTTAATAAGCTATTCTTAGCCGAGGTTTATATTCCGACGGGAATAGCGGGCAATTTGATTTGTATGGGTGATGAGAAGAATGTGTGGTTGTTCGAAATTTTTTATCCTCTTATAATTAATACTAAAGGGAGAGGGGGGGGGGGGGGGGGGGGGGGGGGGGGGGGGGGGGGGGGAGTTGGGGGATGTGATTTGGAGAGGGGATTACGAAATGTTTTATTAAATGTTTCAGTAAATTAGAATTATTTAAGTGCTTTCGCCTTCATTAGAAATATTTTCTTTTAGTTGTTTCTTCTAGTAAGGTGAAAACGAATTGAGTTTCTCGTCCAAATTTTTTAGATTGCTTTCCTTTCGCTATTCGCCTCATAGATTTTTATATATTTTCTTCAAAATAAAGAATTTTTTTTTGAACTTTTCCATTACCACTTCTCACCATTGCTAGTTGAGCTGCTCCACTGGCTAAGCTGATTGTCCTAATTTCAGTGCTGAAATATTTTCCAGACCACTCCATCCGATGCCATATTTCTATGTTTTTTCATTTAGCTTTTTTGGAATTTAATGGTTTTTGCACTTGTAGATTCAAAAAAATTTTTCTTTTCAACCACATATATAGCTGTTTCATCTATTCTTTCATGATCTCTCTTGACCTATTAAACCACTTCTTAATATAATTTTTATAAAGAGTCGATCATCTATAGGATATTTTGATTGCTATTTAAGTTAAATAACTAATCTCACTCCTATATTTCAGATTTTCAAGGAACAAGTACATATTTAGTGAAAATTTATTGACTCTTTGATAGATGTATTATGGAAACAATATTCTGAGCATAAATGGATAAAATCTCAGATTTTCTTTTTTCATGCTCTCTTAAAATTTTCTTTTTATTTTTTTAGATATTGAATATTTTATTAAATATTCTTAATATTCATTTTTTAGGCAGTTTTGCACGGCAAAAAAAAATTGCACAGTAGCATATTTGCATAGCGTAGCATATGCATTTCTTTGTTTTATCGTCGAATAGAATTTAAATTTCCCATTTTTATTCATTTCCTTATTTATTTTTTTCTCGTCAGAATGGCAAGCCAACTGGATGAAAATAACCAAGAAAAGAAAAGCGAAATGGCGCAATCGATGGAAAGTCTTATCGAATCCCTGCTGAAATGCGACGCTGTTAAATTTGGTGAATTCGTTTTAAAAAGTGGGATAAAGTCGCCGATTTATATCGATATTCGAACTGTTTTTTCAATTCATTCGCTTATGGTTTGTTTTTTCAGTTAGTTTCTTTTAGAATTTAATGGTTTTTGCATTGGTAGATTCAAAAAAATTTTTCTTTTCATTTTTTAAGTTTTTGCTGAAAATTTTTTGAATTTCGCACGAGTTGAATTCGGAAGGCTTTTAAATTCTTGGTAATAATTTTTTGATAGTTCTTTAATCTAAATTTTATTGATCTAAATTAAATTTTATGTTTTATAGAGAGAAAATAAAAAAAATTTTTAGCGTTCTATCGCAGACCAAATATGTAATTTGATTCAAGACAAGAAACTGGTTTATGATCACATAGTTGGAGTTCCATATGGTGCATTGCCGTTCGCAACTGTAATAATAAGTTTATTTTATTACATTTATATAATTTTTCAAAATTTTTTTAAATTCATTTTGTTGTCTTATGATAGTTTATAAACAAAAAATCTTGAGATTTTCTTGAGATTTATAGTCGAAAAGTTTATAAATTTAAATACAAAGGTAAAGCCTGTAATTGCGTAGAAAATTTATATTACATTAGAACATATTACGTACAAACACTGCGATATTTCATTACGTCAGGTTTTTTTCTGAGTAGATATTTCTCCATGATAAGAATTTTCTATTTTTGAAATTTTCCGTAATTTTAGCAGGTCTGTGTAACTTTGAATAGACCTCTACTCCTTTATCGGAAGGAGATCAAGAAACATGGATTAGCGAAGAGGATTGAAGGTGTTTATAGAAAAGGTGATAAAGTGCTGGTCATCGAAGATGTTGTTACTTCAGGCTAGTATTATTTGTTTTTTTTCTGCTTTTTCACTTTAATGGAACCATGTTTTTTAAAATTTAAGAAAGAACGTTTTGAAGCGGGCTGTTTTTTTGCGGTATTCGACTCGCAAGTATCTTTCCATTCACTTTAGTAAAATCCAAAATGTCGATTTTTTTCACGCATTTAAGTTATAAATTTTGAAATTTTGCTTTTTTTCGGAAATATTTTTCCATTCTTTTTACATTAATTAGAAAGGCAGGGAAATCGAAAATTCAATAATTTTCATAGTGACCTAGCGTGAAGGAAAAACGCACATATAATTTGCCTTACTGATACAAATTATTGTATAGAAATAGATAATCTAAGCTTGATTCTGTTCTGGATTGCGACAGAAAAAAAGGAATAATGGACTTTGGACAGAATTCTTCTTCTTCTTCTAACAGCTTTCACCATTACTGGGTTCCGCTGATTACAATGGTAAGACGTCTTCAAGCTGCTCGATCCGAGCCATCGATGGAATAATAAAAGAAGCCATTCTTTTTTTCATCTTCTAAGTCCGTATATATATCGCTGGTCCTTCCATACGTTCAAAATTTTTCCTGGCTGTATCAATCCAGGTCTTGATTGGCCCTCCACGCTATTGACGCCAATCATCAGTGGGTTTAGCAAGTAAGGAAATATACAACTCCTGTCCTGGACGAGCGAGAACGTGCCCTAGGCTACGCTCTATGATAACATTAATACAGGTGGTAACTGGGGAGAGATGAATACAATTATGTGCGATTTTATTCGCTCGACGGATCTGCAAAACAGAATAGTCAATATATCATAATCGAGTATCCTTTAAAAAGTGAAGTGCTTCAAGGGACTCTCTAGCGAAAAGACTAATTAGAAATGGTGAGTGCTTGCCAGTTGGCGAGGCAGGATAATCCATGAGCCTATAGTTCTCCGCCCTATTCGCCTTGCTTGGCTGATAGGCCCAGGTCGTGTGGATATTACTACATTTAACACCATCTTTGATTTGGTTGGCTTCGACTAAAATAAGATTTCTTAGCCACTGAGTTAGGAATAGAATTGCTTTGAGGTGCTCCAGGATTTTGCTTTTAATGCAAGCCCACTTCACTTCTGTCAATCAGAATGGAGATCGAAGCTTGCCCATAGTCGGACCAACTCATCATACTTTTGTAATTTCTAATATATTGTTCAAATATGTATGCTGCAAAATGGCCATCTTTATGATGGGTAAAAACCGCTACTTCGCAATGTTTGCTAAATCAGTAGGCTGAAGCACCAGAAAATATTTCTTAACTATAAATAATTTGGTTCATTACATTAATTGCTTATATTCAATTAAGACTTTTTTTGAAATTTATAGAAATTTTTTCAATATAGACTTTTTTTGAAATTTATAGAAAAAATTTTTCGTTTTTTTTATGCTGTTTGAGGTAACTTAATTTCACAGCTTAATTTTTAAATTTGGAAAAATTGTTGGAGAAATAAAATAAAAAAATTACAGTTTATTAGTTTTTTTCCTTAAATATTATTTATTTTACTTATCATTTAACTCTTTGGCAAGATTAAACCTATCGAAGCAATTAAAATCAGGGTGGTCATCTGCAACCTGCATTTCAAATTACCTGCATTTTTCAAGTGATTATGGTAGAAAAATCTGGTTGCCCCCATACAATATCCTCAATTTCTCACATGTGCGATATTCTTACTACTGAATATATTCTTCTTCATTATTTATATTATTTATATGAATTGGCGTATTTCTCCCTAAGCACTGCAGTGGATGGTACCAAAAGTAGGGATCATTCAAGCCTTGGCTTCTTGAGAGATTTTGAGGCAGTATATGGGCTTGTTTACAATTACATTTTATACAGTATTGCATGAAAAAAAAAGAAAAAAATTTATAAACGCAAAAACACTAGCACTAGAAAAAAAATTTGATAAAAATATTTTACCTGTTCCATTCAAACTTCATTGATTTTGTGGTAATCCAAATTTTTATATAATATTACTTATTTAAGTAATAACCGTAAAATAATCCCGCTTTAACAAAAAGTTATATTATAAGCCATATTTCTAGCTTGTGAATCTGGCAACCAGATAACCAACAAGTCCAGTAAAATGATAACATTTATATATATAACAGCCCTTTAATAGCCCTTACAATCACTGGTTAGATTCGCCCCGTTGGCTTATCGCAGTGGACAGATATGCTAAGGAGAAATATGCTTGGCGATAGAAGTACAGGTAAGTCGCCGGCATCATGGATTTTTGGATTGGTTTACTCCTACGGGGAGAACCTCGGCATTGGCGAATTCAACAATATAGGTACATATATACAGATAGCATATATATGTGCTACATGATCGATTTTTTTTTACATATAATTTTTACATGCAGTGTGCTTCAGAAGTAAAGATTTTCAACTGCACCACTGAAAAAAGGTTTTTGGAAATCGTCTTTTATTGTTCACTTGTTATTTATAAATTCTACGGAATCATTTGAAAGCTGTTTGCAGCGATTGCGAGGCTATCAATCATTTTCAGACAATTGGGGTCATTTAGAGTTACTGTCTCTGCCCTTAAACTAGAAAATTGGTTTGAGCAAGTTCCAGGAATAAAATGTCATCTAAAAGATTATCTAAAACAGTAATCTAAAACAGTTCACTGCTAGGGACAACTGCGATATATAAGTGAGAGAGATTGAGGATAGCCATCCACAAGGGTTTTTTTCTCTTTGAAAAGCTTTGTATGGTCAATCTTTTTATTTCACATTTTGTTGTTTTTTCTATTGTAAATATTTTTCTCAAAAGTATTTTTTTTAGAAATCTTAAAATCTTTCTAATGGTTCTAAAAATCAGCAAACCTACGCAATTAAATTATAATATAGATGCAAATTTTTTTTTAGTTTTAATTTCCGGATATTCTGGAAATTTAATTAATAGCGGACTTCAGGTGGGAGCGTTTTGAATCTCGTTGATGTTCTTCGTGAGGAAGGTTTTGTTATTAACGACGTGGTTTGTATCGTAGATCGACAAGGAGGTGCTGAAACGAAATTTTCAGCTGAAGGACTTAATTTATATAGGTAATCTTTCCTGTGCTTCAGGGATTTAAAGAGCATTCATAGTGGGATGATAGTTTTAGATGTAGGATTTTTTAAACTTTTCATTTACTATTTAAATAAATGGCATGATAAAATTTCATTATTTTTTTATAAAGTTTTGTAAATGATTGCCATTCCCCTTTTCAGCCTTGTTAAACTCAGTGATGTTGTGGAGTATGCTGTTGATCGTGGTTTTTTAAATTCAGCAGATTATAAGATAATTATGGATAGAATTCACGAATCACTAGCTGATAATTGCCCAGAAAAATCGACGATATGGTCTCTGAATGATCGCTTAACTTTAACTAAATCCTCATTTAACAAGCGATTAATTGAGATTATGCTTAAAGTTAGTTTTAAATTTTTTCTTCAGTAATTAATGTTGCTCAATAAAGTTGGTATTCTTCACGATATGAATATTTATTAGAAAATAACTGGAGATAAGCGCCATTTGCATGCATTAACAACATATGAGGTGCCAAATGAAAGGAAAGCAATGATAACGAAACAAAAAAAAGCAGTAATGTAAAGGGAACAGAGAATAACACAGATCATACGGAATTTTTAATTTGCGTACAATCGTATGCTAAAGGACCATGATTTCGAATTTCCTATATGAAACATTTCATATTATGGATATTTAGTTTTCTTTCAAAAATAACTAAGGATAATATATATACTACGTCATTTGGAAACTTATTTTTGTAATTAATGGTACAAATGTCTTAGCTTAATTTTTTTGCAATTATTAAAAATATAAATATTAAGTATTTAAATAAATTATTTAAATAAATTTATCTCCAAAAATTTAAAATCTCACCTATTATATCGTCAGTTTATTTTTATAATTGTTTGTAGAATGTAATGGCTCTTACTTCAGGGAATTCAGAATTCTTGTTCTTGCATCTTTGTGAAAATATATACTATACTGTTTATCCAAGAAGTTAAATTATGATTTAGTGAAATACCGATGTATCACTTAATTACTTTATGGAACCACTAAAATTCAAAAATAAAATGGAAATGAATCTCTCATAAAATCCACAAAAGAAAAAAGATGAGAAGCCATGATTGCAATAAACTAATAGAAAAAAGGTTTTGCACCTATTGAAAATCTGATTGACTGAAGAGGAATACAAATCGTATATCAAATCGTTTATTTCCATTTATTGAATGAGTGATTCGGGACATTGTGATTTAGAACTTTTCACAACTGGAAGTACTTGCAAACTGTATTAGGAACTGTATTAGCAATTAGTAAATAATGATATAATGGGTCTTGCAGTGTTAGTCGGGATATTTTTGGTATTTTTTAATCTCTTATTTTTTGTTCTTTTATTTACTGGTTTTTCAGAAGAAAACATCTGTTTGTTTGGCAATTGACTATACCAGAACTGATGAAATTGAGAGTTTATTGGAACTTGCTGGACCATATATTTGCGCAGTAAAATTGCATGCAGATATCATTGAAAATTTTGATTTAAATTTCATGTTGCGAATGTTAGATATGTCTGAAGCAAGAAACTACGTAATATTAGAGGATCGGCAAGTTTTTTTTTGGTTTAAAATCTTTGAAATCTTCAGCTTTATTCTCTTGGCTTGAATTTGATGTGGCAATGAAGTACATCTTTGTTGTGTTTAGTTGTTCAAATGGTCTTTTAATAATGCGATTATATAATAAAATAGTTTAGGCCACTAAATTTCTTAATAGACCAAAATTTATTTGTTTCAATTTTATTTTTTTCAAACTTCTTTAAATTTTTATGAAAAGGATCTAGAAAATTTGGTGACACGGGCAGAACTGTTGAAATGCAGCTTATGCGGGGCTATCACAGAATCGCTTTGTGGGCTGATATTGTTACTTTACATCCTTTGCCTGGAATTTCTCTTATCGAAACGGTGAAGAAGGTTGGAGTTATTTTTTTATCATTTTTATCAGTCATTATTTTCACTCTACTAGTTATGGCTACTACAAATCTTCATTGCAGGCAATATTGAAAAAAGGTTCAAGACTTGATGGATGTCTTTTGGTGACTGATTTAAGCACTGTAAATGCGCTTACCTATGCTCGAGATTCGATAAAGGGTAATATTATTAAACATCGTTATTATTTCAGTGTCATCTTAAAATCTGCCCAATCTTTGATTATTAATTTAGTATTTAATCATTATTTGATGTTTTTAGCTTTTACTAATCTTAATTTCTTTCTAGCTATTCAAAAAATGGCCATAAGAAATCCTGAATATGTTAGTGGGTTCATTTGTCAGCGTCGTTTCATGGATGATCCTGCCTTTTTATATTGGACTCCAGGTAATGAATTATTATTATTGGGTCATTCAGAAATGTTAAAGCGATATATTATTCTTGTTTAGGTTCCATTCGCATAGATCGTTGCACTCGCCATGACTTCTCGTTTCTTTTTCCTGGACTACAAATAGCTAATTTTTTTTTCGCATATTATAGTCAATTTGATAAATATGGCTTTTGACGTCTGGTACTTTCGGAGCACAAATTGTCTCATCGAACGACAGAGGAAGCATGAAATCTATAAATAGCTTTTGGTGTCAATGCATCTAAGGAAAAAGAATGGCTTGTGAGATTCAGAGCTATAGATAAGGGCTTCGAAAATTCCTCAAGTAACGACCATTTCCCAAGTCCTGTAAATGATTTTTTGGAAAAGATGGTAAATGGTGAATGGTGAATGGTGAATGAAAGATGGTAAATGGTGATGGTAAAAGATGGTAAAGGCAAATTGCAGAAAAATTTACCTTGATATGTGGATAATAAGGCTATGTGCAGATATAGTGTGAAATTTTGACGATTCTTATGGGATTATGTGGAGTATTGATGAGATGAAAAATATTTGACATATGGATATTTCATATGACTGAACGTCAAATGCAAATATAGCTTGGAGATATTTTCTCAGTTTCTAGTGCAACACAAATGCCTTTTTTTTCTGTAGCGGGCTTTTACTTTTAACGAGGTGGATTTCACGCAACAAAAAAAAAAATTTGTCACAGTGGGCTGACTGCGCGAACCTTTTTGATACACATTGAAACTTCGTACTCTCATAGAAGAAAACTATACTCTGGGAATCTGTGAGAATTCATTAAAGCTTTTTAAAATCTGGTACATTCCTTGGCGATTATTGCTGAGGTTCTATTTCCGACAGGAGTAAACCTGTCCAAAAATCTGGGTGATGCTGGCGACTCAACCATACTTCTATCGCCAAGGGACTCGTAATTCACTTAAAATTGCAAATGCAATAACCATAGTAAATCAGTTAAGATCCATCATTCTGCATGGCAATATACATTCTGTATCTTATCGTATTTCGCAAGAACTGCGAAAATTTTTCAGACAAATAGCGAAATCTTCTATCACTCAAGATGTTCTATTCTACAAGTCTACCTAAGTCTTTTAGTTCTTCGACTTTCTCATTTCTCAAAGAGAGAAAATATCTCGAAAACAGAAATACTCAAGAATTGTTTTCTAACATTTTTTTCTAACATTCTAACAGTTCTTTGGTTCCAAAAATTCAGACTTACGCAATCTTTTTATAAAGTGCAGTGGTGCTCATTTCATTAATAAGTTTTATTTTGATCCTTCGAAGGAAACATTTTAAATTAGCAGGAAATTTTTGAATGACCCAGTGTTGTGATTATTGTTTATGACCTAGGAAAATATTATAGAACGAAAAATGTCATGAACTTAAGGAATTAAAACTTAAGGAATTTTTTCACTAAAGAAAATTTGTTACGAAAATATTGAGGCATTACGAGGATATAAAAATTTTTTCATAATTGATCTCTTAATTGAAGATGGGAAGTATTGATCTTTGATCTCTTCTTTCGTTTAAATTTTTTTGAATAATTCACCTGAAAATTCGAAAATTCACGCTAATTTTAAGAGATATAATATATAATTCACATAATTCAATAGAAATCAAAGCCTTATAATAACATAAATAATTATTGGTAGGCGTTAATATTGACGTATCGAGTGATGGATCTGGTCAGCAGTGGCGAAGTGTTGAAGATGCTGTTATCAGGGATATGAATGATATCATTGTCGTTGGTCGTGCAGTTTGTGAATCAAAGTACCCTATTGAAACGCTCATTAAATATCGTGACGCAGCCTGGGCAGCACTAAGCGCTCGAGAAATGACCTAGAAATTGTTTTGTGCTAAAAAATAGGTTCAGTAGATTAAAAATAGGTTTTTGTTAATATTTTAATATTTTTCTTCGTAAAAAAATGGTACCTCTTTTCTTTATTCTTTTCTTCTATGAATTTTTGCCTTTCTTATGATCTTTTTTATTTTTCTCTTTCGTTTTTTAATTCATAATAAAACTTTGTCCTTTTCCATTTATGTTTGAATGCGACTGAAGCCATTAGTTTTATTTTCAGTTGGAATTGTTACCTTCTGATTTATTTTTTTTCAAGCATCTTAGATATTGAAAATTGCATATGCTGTTTTTTTTTAACTTTTTTAGAGCTAACTTGCCTATGAAAAAAAAGAAATGATGGAAATATCAAAATTGTAGCACATTTGTTGTTGCTTCATATGCTTGATTTCATGAATAATCCTAAGCTTGAACATGAACAATATGCTACTTCTGCTGAGGCCATGAGCCTTCTAGCCAAGGAAGTGAATTTGTTATTGAAAAGGAAAATCGTAGTCATCAAAGTCATTTTTCGTTCTGTCGCCTTAGAAGTGTGGCAAAAAAAGCCTAAAACAAACAGTCTTACCTCATCCATGCATAGTAACGCGTGGAACGTGTTTTGATGAAGCTATTCGAAGAATAACAACATTAGACCGGATTTTTTTGTTTTCTACCTATAATTTCATTTTTATCGCAATAGTTATTATTATATGTAGTGCATGCATATAAGAAACAAATCAGCGCTATTCTCTTTTATTTAATTCGTTTTAAAATTAATTTTTTGGTTAAATAATTTCAAAGTTATATTTAATCAAAAAATAATGAAAAAATTCTTACATATTATTTGAAGAATATTTATTAGTTTGAATATTTTTTTTTGCAAATATGATATTTAATAGTTTTCTTCAGTTCAGTAATTTTTAGAGATTGAAATTTACTGAAAAAATATTAGATTGGTGAAATATCGAACAAAAATCAAGCAAATTAGTCGTATATTTATCCAAAAAATTTATCAGCGTTTAAAATAACAATAAATAATAGAAAAGAAGGCGATGCGCGTCGAAGAATGCATTGTTATTCATTAAATAGTAAAGTAAAATAAAAATAAAATAATTGCATTTTATTTTTTAAATTTTAGGAGTGGGAAACGATTTATTTTGGCGGATTTTTATTTTTTTAATATATTTTTTGATCGATTTTTGTGGTTATTAAAAAATAAAATGAACGAAAGAATTTTATAAGCAATAGCGATGAAGAAGATTTCGATTATCAGGTCTTAATTTTTTACCATATATATATATTTATATATTTTTTATCATTGATATTTTTTTAATCATTTCTTTATCACAAGTAGAAATTTAATTATCCAAATTTTCGGTGTTATTAATCACTATCTATCCAATTATTTTTGTGCGATTTTATAGAACCATTAGCAATACGAATTGTTAAAGTAAGTACAGTGGGGTAGAATGCGAATTTGAGCCACTAAAATGTGATAAATTGGAGGATAATACATTTACTGCTCAAAAATAGGTTCACTTATCTAGTAATGGTATCGTCACGGAAAAAGAACGCTTGATATTAGGGCTGTTAATCAACTTCCTATTCTTCTCGATTTAGCGCTAACGTTTGACGTTTATCCGTTTCGGTAATTTTCGGTAAAAATTTACGTTAATTTCCTTATATTCAATAGGCTATTCTTTAATGCTAAATTCTAAACTTCAGGAATAAATTATTTACCTATAGAAAATTAGTGCTATCGTTAACTATAAATTTTTTATTGGTTTGAAATCGTTAAGTCGTGAAGCAAAATGTGTGATGCTAAAGAGTGGAAAGAACGACGTTTAAGTGATAGTATAAGGATTCCAATGGACGAGGAACTATTTAAATTCATTTATGATCTCAGTAGTCATGGTGTTTTAAAGTTTGGTGAGAACGAACTGCCAAGTGGAGTAATTTCACCGATATATTTAAATATACGAGTTCTTTCTTCTTTTCCGGAACAATTGGTGAGTAATTCGTTTATTTTATTTTCAGTTTATATTTACGTAATTTATCTTTTCGTTACACCGTAATTTTTATGCTCCAACAATGTGCGATTTATCAAAAGGAGATTGGCCTTTTGCATCTATCTAGCATATATTAGATCAGGCAATGTCCATCTGATAGATTGCATTCTTTACAACAAATAAAAATTTGGTTTGCTCTGTCTCTATTAGCTTTTAGCAGATGAATTGCACCTAGGAATACAGGTGAATATCTCTAAAGTCCAACATTATGACCACCCATATTTCACTTTGACAGCGCTTTCTCTTGTCAAAGATCAAAGGATGAACCAGCGATACTCATATTCCAAGCAGAACATTACTGAGTCGTCCTTGTTGATCCTAGCTGACATCAATTCACGAAATGTAAAGTCATCCACACATTGATCCTAGCTGACATCAATTCACGAAATGTAAAGTCATCCACACATTGTTTTGTCTATTTAATAAAAAAAGGGATGCAAAATGATAGTTTTGATTTAAGAATAACAGTTCTAATTTATTTTTTTTTGACCTTTTCGATCGACGCTTCTCACTGCTGGATTTGCCGGTGTTAAATTTTCGAGCGGTGGATCTATTCATCTTTGGTTTAACACAATTTTTCGCTCATAATAGAGTTTATATTAGCAAATTTTTAAAGATTTTTTGTTATCCTATATTGAAATTTTATGTAATAGTTGAGTCTTCTATATGTTTGGACTAAGGACAAGAGGCATTCGTTTTCTTGTATTAGTGGAAATAACTTTTGATGAAATGCATTCTGTCTGATTGCTGGAGATCCAGCTGCACCTTTATCTTTAAGTGACTCTTTGGTGAAGCATATAAAAACCTCAGTCTTAGTAATTAATGGAGCTAGCCAGATCTAAAAAAATGTTTGTTACGATGTTTGTCAGAAGGCTATTTGGTGCATATGCATGCTAGAGAAATATTAAACCGAAAAATTCGAGTCCTCAATTATTCATTTTATTTGCTTACTTTAAAATAATAGGATATAGGAGAAAATTACTCGTTTTGCTATGGTGAACAACTAAGAAGTAAGGTTTATTTCCACATTTATAAATTAACTGCAACTATTTCTGTTTTTTGCTCCAATAAATTTCGTCTTCATTAAAATTTTTCAGAATTCTGTTGCGAATCGTTTATATCACGAAATCACCAAAAGCCAGATTAGCTTTGATTATATTTTTGGAGTCTCTTATGGAGCAACAATGATTTCAACAGTTAGATTTTTCAGTTTTTTCTTGTTTTTTTTAAGCTTTTATTCAGTTGATAATCATATTTGTTATCTATTGATTGCATCATGATCAGAAGCTATGACACCGAAGCAACTTGAAATATACGAATTTTTATTGATAATAAAAAAGTGCAAGAGTGGTTCGTAAGATTCAGAATTTGAAGATAGGGCTTTGGAGATATCTGTAATTAGTTCTCGATCCTTAAATCCTATAGGAGATCTGCTTGAAATAGTAAAGGTTTAGAGGAACTTGCAGATTTCGTGTAAAAATTCGTGATAAAATTTTAACATGGTGTAGAGCCACATGTCGCGAGAATAACTTCACATAAATTTGCTGAATTGAATATAATATTTCACTCTCGTTCATCATTAATCCAAGATTTCTCGCCAACAGTCTTTCATTTCTTTCATTTCTTCTGCTCTCTTAGCAATTTCTTGAATCGAAAATGATCTTGAAAATATTCTGCAGTAGTTCATTGGTTTCAGAAGCTCTAAATTTTCTGCAAATGGAATAAAAACCATTCGATAAAACTGCGTTCTGTGTAGTGGTACATTTTTAAATCGAAATCATGGTTAACTAGAAATAATATTATATATATTATATATAATAATATATAATATAATATTTACCAATTTTTTTCTTTTTTCCTAAAATCAAATTCTTAATATAAATTTGTATTTTTTTTTCCTTTTCTATATAAACATTGCTATAGAATTTCTTAATTTTTTTTTTTAGCTTGTTAGCTTGATGCTGAAAAAACCGTTATTCTTTTGTAATAAAAAAATTAAAAATAGAAATTGCAAAGAAGAAATAGAAGCACCAGAAGGATGTCATAAAATACTGATTGTTGAGGATGTTGTCGCTACAGGTATATTTTTATTTCTTTGAATTTCCTGTTATAATTTTCTGGCATGGTTATTATTGCTATTATTTATAGCAAAATGCCTGCTTATATGAGCGATAGCCTCGGGAAATATCTGATGGGATATTCAAATTTATTACTATTATAAGTTGTAGTAGAAAGTAAATTAAAAATTTAAGAATAATGCTCAAAATGAAGAAAATTTTCAGGACAAACTATTATCGAAGCTGCTCATGAACTTATAAGTAGTGGAAATATTGTCGAAGATGCTTTTTGCATCGTAGATCGTGAACAAGGTGCATTTGAAAGTCTGCGTCTCGAAAAAATAACTTTACATTGGTAAGACTACTTCTTCTAAGAGTGCTGTTTAACTAGCTTAGTTGGCTCCATTGTTTTAAGGATTAGAAATGTTTCCAAGTCTCTTAGTTCCTATTAGTATAATTAGTATATATTGTACCACTGCCATTCATTTTCCACTACTTAAGCCCATATATGGCTGATTAGAATTTCTAAATCTCTCTTGAGCATTTCCATGATTTTGCAGTCATCCAGGGTAAGACTTGACCTGGAGGCTAGCGAGATTTGGCCTAACCAGCAATGTTTCTTCTTACAATGAATCTTTGGTAAATGCGTTTTGATTTAGGTCTAACTTAATTAGAGCTCTGCTGTCAATTTGCAGAATCGAGGCAAATTTCCCATAGGCGTCTAGTAGGCTAATTTCTCAATAGTTACAATGCCTTTTTATGGATCGTAGATCGGATGTTTTATAATAATCTTACTCTTCTAAATAAGTGAGGCTATATAAGTGAGGTTGGCGGCTCGCAGTTGCAGTCGTATGGCAGAATGTTTCTGATGTATAGGGGACGATGAAGCGTGGTTAAGTTATATTCTCAAAAAATTTTCACCGTGACTGACTTTGAGTAATTTAGCAGGCGCTTACATCGGATCGAGAAAGATGGATTTTCAACGAATAAGTTTACATTATACTGTCTGCTGAACAATTACTGCTTGATTCTCAACAATTCTCAAGTTTTATGAGATTAAGCTCATATGGCAATAGCCCAGACCTCATTGCACGCATACCAGGTGGCCACTGCTGGATTTCCTCTTTAGATTTTGAATTGTTACCTTGGTTCGCGAGCTTATGCCTTTCTTAATGTTTTTCTATTTGCTAGGTTTAGTTGGTACATTTATCACATATTCCATCGAGCTGGGTAAACCATGCGCGTTGGAAGACACAAACGCCATTTGAATATTGTTTGACTCTTTCGCCATGATATCAGTCGAGGATAAAAGTACAATTTCTAGCAACCATCCGGATTTTAATTTTCTGGTAGGTTTCCTCCTGTCAAAAAAAGATTGATAGCCACAAGAAGATTTAGTGGCCATATAGATCACGAAATTTAGAAAATCAATCATTAATGAACTGAAATGTTTTATTTTTTCTATTCATTTGGATCTTTGCATATATATATGTTGCCTTCAGCGTCACTACAATGATTGATTTCGCACGATTTGTAGTCAGCTTCAACCTTTTTACATTGGAGCAGTCAGCGAAAATGCTTTTAGAAGTTCATGAATTACCGAAAACTCTTCCCTATCTCATAGATCCTGAAATTTGGTCATTCGGTAAACGCTATGATTCCACAAGGTCTGAATTAAATAAGAAATTAATCAAAACTATATGCCGTGTGAGTCATTTAAATTATCTTATAGTTGTCTTAAATAGGTGAAATTAAATTTAAATTTGGGCTCGAGTTAAATTTAATGTGAAATTTGCAGCCAAAATATATTCTTATGCAATCTTACAGTTTCATTGTAATGCATTGTAATTCTTGCAACCAACTTTATTTTTCAAATAGTTTTGCATTAGATAATTCCTTTTTAAATGGACTATTTTTTGTATTTTCCAAATATTTATGTGAATATGTTTGTAGAAGAAAACGAGCGTTTGTTTGGCTGTCGATTATACAAACGTTAAAGATATTGTAAAATTATTGGATATTGCTGCGCCTTATATATGTGCAGTAAAATTGCATGCGGATATAATCGAAGATTTTGATGAACTTTTCGTTTTGCAGATTATTTCCAGGGCACTAGCCGATGATTATATCATTTTGGAGGACAGGTTTTTTTTTCATTATTATTGCTAATATTGATAATATATTTCATTTTCCATTTAAAATGTTCATTATTCAACTTTTTAAATTTTATTCTGTATTTTTTCCAAAAATCTTTCATTTTAATCTAGAAACGTCGTATATATTTTAGCAAATTTGCTGATATTGGTAAAATCATAGAAATGAAGCTATTGAAAGGTTCACGTCGAATTTCATCATGGGCCAACCTTGTTACGTTAAATCCATTGCCTGGTATTTCAATAATCGAGGCGCTGCAAAGGGTTTTAGTTGAATTATAATAATATAATGAATTATCTTTTCCCTGTTTGACCTTCTATGGCCTTAATAATAATTTCAGTTTATAAATTCCAAATTTTTGACTCACCTAAATGAGGCATATTTGGCAAATTATTTATTTAAAAGATCGAGCAAGCCAATAGCCGTGGGTAAAAAAAAGCATAAAACATTAAAACAATACAGTTAATTTTGAAAAATTAAAAAAAAACGAAAGGCCAAAATAAAATGAGGTAATTTTTCGCTAATTATTTCTAAAATTATTATAGGTGGTGTATTGATGGTGTAAAATTTATCTCTATTAGGCACTTTATTCTAATTGTTATTTCTAGAAATAAAAAAATTATAAAAATATAAGTTTAAATGCGACCAGCTCCTTTTCGGCCATAAGAACACCAAATACCATTAACAATTTCACTATATCTGTATAACAACTTCCATTGTTGCAGGTCATAAGAGTTTCAAAGTTGGAGGGTTGTCTCTTAATTATAGATTCGGATACTGAGAATGCTTTAAGTTTCTCGCGAAAGTCACTGAAAGGTATATTAAAATGTTACTTTTATTTTTCTTTTACTAGCAAGTGGTGATTTTATATAAACGTTTAATTTTTTTTCTGTAATTGGGATGAAACTAAATTGTATAAATTGAATTCAAAGTTCGATAGCTAAATTTAAATTTAGATTCTTTATTTTAAAAGTTAAGTGAAATATTTTATTTTCTTTTTTATTTTATGAAATGAAAAGATCCTAGTTGTTCACCAAATCTCTCACGAAAATAACGCTTCTGTAAGTGGATTCATCTGCCAAGAACGTGTTTTTGACGATCCTAGCTTTCTTTATTGGACTTCGTGTAAGTTTAGAAACAATTGATTGATCTAGTTTCTTTTAAAACGGTGAAATATTAAAGTTTATTCCATTAGACTTAACATAAAGTTTCAATTTTAGGTGTGAGCGAAGATAAAGCAAATGGTGGAACGGACCAGCAGTTTAGAAGCGTAGAAGAGGCTATTATTAGAGATATGAATGATGTTATTATTATCGACCGTCCAGTTATGCAAACAGGCGATGTGCTTTCGCAACTTCAAAGATACAGCAAGCTATCTTGGGCTGCGTTAAATAGTAGGCTTGGGCAAGAAATAATTTTATGAACTTTGTATTATATTTCTTTTATTCTCATTTTTATTTTTTTCATTTTCATTTTTATTATTACTTTATGAAATCTTTCAAATTTCCAATAAAGATTGTCAAATTTAGCTTTCAATTATTATTATTATTATTAAAGAATGCAAGAAAATGAAATGGAAAGTAAATAAAAGAATTGGCAATAGATGATAAGCTTTAGGGCATACATTCAACGGAAAAATTTCTTACTTCAGCGAAGCTTGGCTAGCTTAGGGCACCAAATTCTTAATCTAGTTGTTACGGAATGGAACTTCGCATAGAAATACCAGTTCTTTCATTTATACACAAAGTTTTATACGTATCCATGCATACGGAAGTTAGGACTCAATTTTTAAAACGCATTTACGAATCTTATTCACATTTTTAAGTATTAGCGTTAAGTATTAGGTTGTATTATCATTGTATTATAGTTCATGGTGGTTTGGAAAATTTACAAATTCATGCAATTTGTAGATATTGATATATTATAAAGAATTTGAAATATATAATCGCCTTTTTTCGAGATTTTATGTCTCGAGAATTTAAATATCTAATTTTTCGCGATAAGTTTTATTAGATAATCAATGGCCCAATTGGTGACTGTGGCCCAAATACTGAATTTTTTGTAACTATAAATGTGTCAGCGCTCTCTATTTTAGATTAAATTCGATCGCATGGCCGTTAATGCTCATAAAAATTTTCCCAGAGAATCACTAGATGATCGATGTACAGATGGGTTGATCACCCGGATATTTTATTGGTAGATTAACTCCTATTGGAGACAAGAGCCAAAATACTGATTCTTAACACACAGCAATCGTGGTGGACTACCAATCAGTCGGCTATCCTGTCTCTATAAATTTCAACCGAAATTTCGTGAACAGTGTAGGAGGTTTTGATGCAGGAGATGGTGGGGTTTGAAAGAACGCCATAGCAGAGTTGAAGGGTTGTCAGGTTTGAGCAAAAAAAAACCAACAATTTATCTTGAAACTTGAAATTCTATCAAAAGTCCTAATCATACTGGATATCCCCAATTTTTCCCTTCAACTTTCTTCAATCTCCACCATTCCCTCTTTTCATTTTCATCGATATCAGATTATGTTTTTATTTTCAGTTTTATAATTTGGCGAAGTTTGACATCAAGAGGATTTAAGGAAACAAAATAGGAATATAAATGTGGAGTACAGCTGAATCTAAGAGTTAAAATCGTGGAAAATTTCTAGCAACACTGGCTCTACTGATTATTAGGGTAAGACGCTTCCAAGTTTCCTGATCCGATACTCTGACTGAAACCATTCGTTTTTCAACTTAAACTATTCCTTTTTCTACTACCTAAGTATTGCTGGATTGCCTATGGGTTTCCAGTTTGTCTTGATCGTATCATTCTAGTTCAGCCTCCTTCCCTTCGATTGTCATTCGACACAAGGTTTGGCATATAGCGAGATATGCGTAAATTAAGATGGGTAATGGGTGAAAAAGGCCTAGAAGAGAAGTTTGAAATAACTAATAGACTGTGGCAAAAGATTACAACAGTGCTTTAGGACTATTAATGAGGTATTTGGCGAGATTTCCAGAGGCTTTCCACAAGATACGGTAGTTTTCTAGGGTGCCAAAAAGTTTTAATACGACAAGCTGAGATGTCATAGACAACAGATTTTTAGAAAGTGTTAGCAACAAAACGGCAACGTGAAGTCTGCCAGTACTCTAGGGCATAGTAAGATCTGACGGAGTAACACTGAAGACTAAGACAATATGTATGTCTTAAGATAATGTTTGATATGCAGAAAAGTATAGCAAGATTTGCTGGAACTGGATTTTCGCATAGAATGGGCTAGTTGTTAGACTCAAATTTGATAGCATATTTCGAATGTGGAACAAGTTATAGCAAGCTTATAGACATTGGAGTAGATAGTGACGGGAAATTACTGGACTTCTTAGGTGCTAAGAAGGATCGCAAATATTTCTCACAATTTATAACAACCTTTGCGGGAAATACATGGATCTTGGATGAGTTTTTTTTCATGAGTAGATGCACTGATATATCGTATGCAGACATTTCATATAATCAAAAGGATGGCGAAAGATGTCGCTTCGATTGACCACATGTTTGATTCTATGGTGGGAGAGTTCTTATCAAGCGAAAGCGAAACTCGGTATATGATGCTTGATAATTGATACTTTGTACTCGTATTTATATTCAATGAGTTTGTTGTACTAAGAAGAGTTTGCAGGAAAAAGAGGAGGAGGGAGGAGGTTAGGGACTCATTTTGAAATGAATTTCTAACGAAGGGATCTCACTCATCCTAATAGTCAAATCAGCCAGAATTAACGAATACTGTTTGAACAAGAAAAAAAGGAAAAATTAGCCGGATGTATTAGTGGTATCATTGGAATAGATTCAATCTTGTTCCTACCACATATATATATATATATATATATTCTCTCCTTACCCTATGTAAATGACAATGGCCTTGAAACTTCGAACCCCCGGAGATTGTGAGCAGGCAAGTTTCGTATCGAAGAATATGCCAAAGGCGATTAAAAGTATAACAAATGTATTTCACAAATTAGAATAAAGTTAAGTCCTTTGTCAAAAAATCGGTTTATTGCAGGAAAAGAGATTGAATAAGTTACTCTAACGAAGAAGTGCACTTTATATAATTTTATTATCACCCATTTTTCTTAAACTATGTCAAGTTTTTTAAAAAAAAAAAATACACTACCAGCACTGCTCAATTATTCGGAAGTGACATTAAAAAATCTTAACCAAACAACACGCTTAAGCGATAATCGACCAATGTCCCCCTTTGGTTTTGTATCATTTTTATTCTCATTTTATTTCAAATCATGAAATTTTTCGGCAAAAATTGGTGAGCCCTACATAACCGTGATTTTTGACATTTTTTAAATTATTATTATAGGAATTTTGTTAAATTTTATAAAATCATTTAGCTGTTACGCCAAATACTTTACGTTTTTACTACTTCTATAGACAAATTTGAATCGAATTTGAGAGATTTTCTTAATAATTTGCCAACAAATTTCTATAAGAACCATCTGATATCTTAATTTATTAGGTTATTTTGGCATTTTGTCGAAGAATGTTGAACATTACTTTTTGTGACCTTGAAGAAATTTGAAATGCATACTGGTATGCTATCATGTTGAGTAAATTTATTAGAATATCACTTATAAAATAGTGAACATTCGCTTCATAATGTTGGTACAATCGTAAAGTTACTGATAATAAATTTCGAAAATTCATTTTCAGCAAAAATCAATCTCACGAATGTTCATGGAAAATATTAAAGCTATACTGATTTATATATCAGTGATAAAAGCTCAGCTATGGCCGCCACCACCGTATCCAATAATGGTTGCAAACCCATATATCAATACTATGCGTCATCACAGTGAGTTTTTTCCCTTATTCTTTGATTGCTATTTATAGCAATAATTACAGAATGCTATTTAAAGGTTTCAAAGAATTGATGGAAAAATTGATCATGAAATATGGCAAAACTACAAAATCGGCTCGAAATTCTATTAGTTTAAGTTGAGCTTAATCGAAGTACCACTCTGCCGTTAGGCAAATATTATATAAGCCATATATTGTCTTGTTGTTTTATTAAAAATAACATATAAGAGTTTAAATGATTCGAATTTCAGATCACTAATTTCAGATTAAAATTTGATAAGTAAAGTCGAATATTTAAACTTAAGCTTAAACTTTTTAATATCTAAATTTAAAAAAGCGATTTAAATCTTCTTTTTTTGTTTGTTCAAAAGATTTTACCATTCTTTATATAATGGATGATCAAAGACAAGTAACACGGATTCGATTTCTATTTTTTGATAGGAAAAAATAAACCTATCATTAGAAGAGAAAGTTTGATGATAGATCTAGTGAAGGCTCATTTGTTATTCACAGATGAAATGGTTATTTAAACGCTCATGCGGGTAGTTATCAAAAGGTGTCATGCGCTTATAATTATGAATTAAATAATTTATATTAAAATAATTTCTACGAAAAAATCAACCACTCACACATATGTAATTTATGTTTCTTTAGATCCTTATGGTGGTTTTTCTAGCAACTGTATAACCATTAGTAGAGTGCCTTGTCGAAATTCACCTGCATACAATTTTATCGAAATGGGACAATTCCCATACAACCAACAGTTACCTTTTGTTAATCGAGAAATTGGTAATTATTACTAAACTTAATTTATTCAAACTGATAAAACTGATAAACTGCTATCACTTATTTATATTAAAAAAAAATTATAAAAAAATTTCTCTTTTATAAAAATTTATGAAGAAAATAATATTGTTTGTTATATTCATCAATTAATTAAAAAAATAAATTGATAAAATTGATATACAAAAATGAGACAATTAAGATGGAAATTTCAACAATCTCGTCGCAACTTTTATGCCAAATAATATGGCCTCGTTAATCAATCCTGGATTAACTTGGGTTAATTCGGCATTACCCTTCATTAACGCTGGAACGTCATCACTTCTGAATTCACGACAGTCAATCATTGATCCGAAATCGATTATTAATCGAGGATCAACCATTAATCAGGGTACAACATTAACGGGCGATGCTTTACAAAATATCATCGATATCTATAGTCGTAATTCGCTGTTAGGACAAACTGGATCAAACTTATTGAGTGGAATAAATAAAGAAAAATTTCAGGTGAATTTATTATCCATTTATAAAATATTTTTTTATATAATTTTAAAATTTCTAAAGTTTCTTTTTAGGCAAAAAAAGAGACGATGTTTTTTAAAAATAAATCAAAATAAATAATACTGGTTTATTTGAATAAAAATAATTTTCGAGCAAAAATTATTTGCATATAGACTTATAATTTATTAGATAAAAATTTGATAAAAGTTAGATAAAAAAAAATTCAGAAATTTTTATTTATTACACATATTCGTATATAATAGGTCCAAGGATGTTCATTCGATACGATTCAAAATTCATGCACAAATGGACTTAATTTATGTCGAGGACGATGCAAGGATTTTGGTACTGACCTACTTCATGATTGCCGTTGTATTCCCGACGATCTAAGTTCAATGCTTGGTCATATCAAAAAGTGAAATATAATTTTTTTATATTCATTTTATTGTATCTTAAAAATCTTATCAAATGAAATATTGAGAGATTTGTACCTTTCAATTGTGTTTTGTTCATTTCAATAAAAAAAGATTCAAGTTTACATTTGCGCTTATGATGATTTTCTAAAAAAGAAATTTGCGAAAAAAATTTTCTGAATAAGTTTTTTTGGTTTAAAATGATCCTATAATTTTTTGCACTTTCGTTGATATTTCCGTAATCAGAACTCGTTTTTTCCAATAAGCGGAGTTACAACAAAAAATGAATTGCAAATTTAAATCTTCTCACTTGAACCTCTAAACTGAATTGACAATAAAATAACGATAATAATTGATGAATTGTTAAGCAATATTAACCAAATATAAACCTTAAAGGTGAGTAGAGCAGCAGTGGAGATTTATCTGAGATATTAGGTTCAATTCGCTTATTCGCTTCGATATCGAAAAAATTTAAACCCATATGTATACTCAGCTGATAAAATATTCAACGAAGATGCATCTATTATCACTTATCACAAACCAAATTTTGCGAACTCCATATTTCTAATTTATGAGTTTGAATAAATTTAAATGAATTTCATAGGAGCTTCCAAAAGATCCCTCGTTAAATTTTCAGCAAATTTATAAAGAATTTAAGCAATTAACTAAAACTGTACAATTACGGTGAATAATTACAAACCGCATAACAATATCCACACCATTCAGGTCAAAATCTATTTGCATACATCCGTATGGTTATCCGATCCTCACCAATTGTCACGCCACCAACACATTGACAATAAAGCACATTGCATTGCTATTCGCACGTATGTTGGAAGCTGCATTTTAGATGTTCAACGTATTTTCCGCGATGTGGCCGTGAAAATTTTTTTTTTTTTGAGCTGGAAATGATTGTCTCAGTTGACCTAGTTGCTGAAATTCATGAGCTGTTGATTCATTCATTCTGAATAATTGTAGATAATTGTATACAATGAGGCGAGAATAGAGGCAAAGCATAGTTATGTTAAGTGACTGTAGCTTAGATTACCGTATCGAGCATTCTAATTTTGGCTTCTACTCACTGCATCAATTAATTTATCACCAAATAATTTCGGTATTGCTTTAAACTCTTCTAAACTTTTATCCGCAAGTGTCCTCTATGACGAAATTGCCTAATTCTATTAATAATCAATAGAATGAGCCTAACTAGAAGTACCAATCACTTATTATGCAATATTATTGTTCTAATATTTTTTATTGTTAGAGGAATTGATTCTCGAATATACATGATGATTTGATAGGTTTTTTCGAAATTTTCATGCAAAATTATGCCTTAGGCTGCATTGAGCTATTTTATTTTTAGCAATATGAGAAAATATTTTAGGAATAATTTTCATATCAGTTAGAGCAAACTTAAATAAAATGGGTAAAATGGGCTTAAATGGGGAAAAAAATATACAGAAATTATTAATGAAATTATTATATTTCGCTAAAACATATTTTTTATTATTTACAACAGTTTATTTATTTATTTTTTTGAAGGATTATTTGAAAAATTTAAAAATGTTGAGAAGTGCGGTACATCGATTTTGCTGTTGTTATCCGCAAGACGCTGATCAGCAACCCATTATAAACGATGATAGCGAAGAAGCGTTAAATGAAGCTCAAACTCGTGGAATTGTTGGGTTTGATTAATAATTGTTATCTAAATAATTTACTATGTTAATGAGTGCATACAAGGAGGATTTTAAAGACTATTAGAATTATTCCCGCAAATTCCGCCAAATTAATGTTTTTCTTCAGAGATTTGCTTTATTTTTTTACCATATCCCATTAGTAATAATAAATCAATAATTTTCTTTGTATGATCTCATTCTTTTGGTTGGTTTCTTGAAAATTTGTTAACTAATAAGTTCCTCAGAGTTACTCTTGTTAGATCCTTGCACAATCCCAAAATCACCTCAGTTATTTTTAGCTCTACCAATCTGGTCATTTTTAAAGAAGAAAAACAAGTAAGGTAGCGATGTTTTAAAATTCCCGTAACTGTGTTAGCTCATTTTAGCTCTCTTGAATACCACAACTCCATTTTTGTTGTAGATCGCCAGTATTTGATAAATTCTGCCCAGGAAATCTCGTTCCATCTCCTTAAACCATCTCAGCAAATATCCCTTTTGCCCTCCTAAAGCCCCATTATATTTTTATTTTTATTATTATTATCTGTTAGTAATATCATTTAAAACTCCTTTCTGCAGCTCTAATCCTCTTGGACTCATTTTTATAGTTATTTTTAAATATAAATGAGCGTTCAATTCTGGTTAAGATCGCTTCATTCACTACGGTGAAAAATTTTCGCTAATTAATCACTAGGCGATAATAGTGCAGGTAGATCACCAACATCACCCAGATTTTCCAGTGATAAATTTGCTTTTATTGGAGGCAAAATCTAAGTATTTAAAAAATAAAATCTAAGCTCTTATTTTTGAAGACGACATTATAAGTAACCACTCGGCTATTCAACCTCCTAATTCCCACTTATTTCTTTCTTTTCTCTCAATGCCTATCAAACTGCAATGTTAGTTACTTTTGGTGCAGATGCAATTATAAATTATGTAAATTATTTAATCATAATAAAAAGAGTTTGCCACGAGAGTGCTTAGTATTCAGAATGGAACGTTGAGTCAAGAATCGACGAACAGTGAGTACATTAGAAAGCAACAACTAAAAAATGGCAACACAGAATTCGCCATTACCTTGTAAAAGGTTGGTCGAAAGATTGGTCAAAGGTCGAAAAAGCTTTGGCACTCTTCGACATTGGTTGCTACTTAAACATATATCGCATGTTGAAAAACATTTTAGTTGATTAAAAACAAGAAAAGTGATAGGAATACTGCATATCTTTTGTGTAATACTTGAGGAACATTGTCTGAATCTTGGCCTGAATATTTGATCAGTATATCTGTGCCGTTGGTCCTAGCTTGATTAGGATGCTCCTGCTTTTTCATATAGCCATAATTCGATTAAACAGATGAGGGACAAAGATTTTTCCAATGATATCCAGCAGACTGAATCCTCTATAGTTGTCACAGTACATCTAATTATTCGTTTTTCGGAATTAAAAGCAAGATTCCTTTGATTCAGTTGGTGTTTCTTTGGTTTTTTTCTTTTCTTCATAGCGTTGAATACATTTTTTGAAGATGAATTGTGAAGAACACTGGACAGCTTTTAAGGAAAGCAGCCTGAATTTTCTTCGGGACTTTTATTAGCCTTAAGCTTCTCTCACCTTCGTATTTAGTGCCAAATCGCCTCAATAACAGTTTTATTAGGATCTCCTGGTATGAAACCCTGGTTATGGCCAATTTTCTTCAGATGGACCCAACGTTGTTTGCCATTATACTGATCATAAACATATGGTAAATGCTCACCATTTATGGTTAGGTTTCCTCGGCTTACTGCTAACACGGTTAATATATTAGCATTACGCGCATTTTTGATGATTGATAGAGTTTATTCTTGTAGGAGGCACAACCATCTGCTCATATTTAAACTAACTAGTAACCACTCTGTCTTGTATCGTTAATGTGTACAGAATATAGAGGTGTTTCGGTAATTCAGTTTCTTAAGTGATTATTGCTTATAAAGTAGGGATAGCTGAAAGATTTAGAGGGATGCTGCTCTGCATTCTAATTCATTCTAATCATTCTAATCTAATCATTCTTGTGTAAATCTTGGCTCGAACCATAGTATGGTCTAATCCATGATAGTCTCCAGTTTCAACGCTATGCTATAACTATTTTGTATAGCCTATTGCCGATATGATAGTCAATCTAGTCTGAATTTGGTTATTAAGTAGTTCCATATATCTTCTTTGATGTTTGATGTTGAATATATTGTTTAAAAAATCTATGCTGCAAAAGAGATATTTTCCATTGGCATATCGGCCGCAATACCATGCGTGTCAGCCATAGAACTGATTGTAATATCATATCTTGTATGCACATTCCAGTCTTTCCTAAATGGTATTGCCACCTTTTTGGATCAACTGAAATTCCGCATAGAAATTTCATTATTGCGGTCATCCGCTCGTAGAATAAGGTTATAATTGATGGCCGACACATCATAGAACTTCCCTTTAACGCGTAAGCCATCCAGTCGTTAATCTGCCTCCACGGAGTCGAAGGTGGTCGAGCTTTTTCAGGCATGTTACTTCGTTCACCGAATTATCCATTACGTTAATACAGCTAGCACCTTTGCTATGAGGTGCTGTAGTTGTTGGAAAGATGTAATGAAGAAGGCACATTTCGGGGAGTTAAGCGTTGTCCAAGTGTTGCTTGTGATCTCACAATTGCCAGCTCACGTAAGTTCAAACATGTGCCACATCGACAACGCCATTTTCTCTTCACATACGTATAAAAAGATGGCAGATGTTCGATTTCCCCAACGAATTTTGAGCAGATATTTTGTATTGAAAGACCAACTTCATCTCATTCCTTCCATTTTTAAAATCCGAGTGCACATTATAATATTAATTTTATCATTGTATTATTCGTTGAAATTGCATATTTTAGTTTTAATTTTAAATTTTTTTTCATTTGTTGATTTGTTATTTATTATCGTTTTTATTTGCTATTTTTATTGTTTGTTATTTTTATTTTTTCCCTATTTTTCTTTAAAATACCATCTTTTATTTTTATTTTCTTAACCGTTTGTTTTTTGAACTGAAATTCTTTTCGTTTATTACAAAAAAAATTTTTTTTTTTTGATGTAACAACAAATTAAAATCTGTTTTAAATTTTGAAAAAATCAAAAAATAAATGATAAAAGATAAAAATTTCAGTATTTATCAGCCATTCCCTTATTACTACGCATGAAAGGTGCATGAAAGGTGCGAAGAATAACATTTTTTTTCCACTTGTTTTGTTCCAAGAAGCGGTTTTTTTTGATAGTTCGTTTAATACTAATGAGAAATTTTTTCATAGAACAGCTATTATTTTTTTTTTTAAGGCGGCTTACCTTTACTGGTTAGAGTCGCTTCTCTGGCTTGTCACACTAGACAAATTTACCAAGGAGTTCCTTGGCTATGAATGTGCAGATGAGTCGCCAGCATCATCGTTGATAATTGATATGTTCTACAATTAATATTATTTAATAACAATACTCTTAAAAAGATAAAGTTTTCATTAAATTTTAACAATGCAATTTTAACAATTTTAACAACCTATTAATATTTATTTGAAAAAAACGCTATTATGTTTTGGGCAGAAATTTTAAACTCTATCAATCCTATCAGGAAAGCAAAAACTGAAGCCATTTGTTATTATTTTCGAGATTCAAATGTTCAATTTTGATTCAATTCTATCAGAATTCAGTGTTAGATAGCAAAATAATTCAAGTCCTATAATTCTAAAATCCTATAATTCATAAAATTTTTATTGTTTTAGAAGAAATTGGCAATTTAATGAATAATTTTAGAGATATTATAAGCGCATGAAAATTTGACGAGTATTTCTAAATAATTTCTAAAAATTTTCTATTCATGTATTTGCATTGATAACTAAATTATTTGAAATTAGACGGACAATGACAGAGTGATATATGTTAATATATATTTTTATCGCTATTGATAAGAAATACCTCAGAATTGGACAAGTAATTTTAGATCAGCAAATCAAACGCTGGATAATTTATGGGCAAGTGATTCGGGAGGTTCAGTCACGTTTTCTTCTCCTGATTCGACCGCTCGCAATAATGCGAATCAAAATAAAGATGAGGAAGAGTTTTTGAATCAAATCCTAGAAACAACTCAACAAGTATGCATAAGTTTTTTTGCAAAAGATATGCTCGACTATCTATGACCGAAAGTTATTTATACTCATATTTTGGTACACTGTAGTAAATTCGAAAAATTTAAGAAAAAAATGAATACTTCAAAAATTATTTAAATTTTACATGAAAATAGTTTAATTCTATTCTGTCTTGTTCGTTTGAAATATTGTACAAAATTGATTAATATATTTATAACCCATAGATGTTTTTTGGCTATTGTTGCGAAACGGCAAAAGCAAAAAATCAAGAAAACTACCTTTTCAACCTCCTCTTCATTGATCCTTGATTGATTGATGTTTAATTTGTTGGCAAGACAAACGAAATGCTGATTCGAGTCCATTTTTCCTTTTTATCACCTCATAGTAGCCCTTTGCCGTTCTGCAGTAACTATACTGCATGTTGATATTGCCAGATATCATTGACAATAAATAGAAGTGAATTAAAAATCGAATTAATGTTGAATGTTGAATAAAATTTAAATGTTTAATTCTAATTTTAACGAATTTATTTTTTTCATATTTTAGAGCATTATTGATGTAACGAATTCAGAGAATACGTTAAATTCTGGTGGTGAATATTCTTCCAGAAGTTTAAATTATCAAGCGATCATAAAGGAGCATGACTTGAATTCGCGAAATATTTTGCTAAAAGGTGCTTAATTTAAGTTCTTTTTAAAAATTTTTTTAATAGTTCATATTTTTTAATAGTCGTTTGTTCATAACAAAAGTGTAGATTTATATAGTGTTTTCTTTTTCTTTTTTCTTCCCATCTCTTTACCTATCTTCTATTCTTTCATTCGTATTTCTGTTCTTTTGATACTTTCATTTCCTTATCAATCATTGATTTGCTATAATTTATTTTATCATTCCACCTTTTTGTTCATTCTTCTAGAAATATTCTATGGAAGGTTTTTTTTAAAATCTTTTTTTCGATTACTTTTTTTATTTCTATTTATTGTTTTTACTGTTTTTTTTTTAAATTCTCTAAACTTTAATTTTATTTAAATTATTGGAATGAATGTTTTAGATACGCGCACAGATGTGCTTGATTCTGAAAAGAATTTGTTAGTTGATGCTGGTGCAAAATTAAACGAATATCTTTGTCAAATCCCTTCTCACCAAATTTTATTTAATGTAAGAGAATTTGCCAAGAATATTTCGACTACTACATCGAACGATATAAAAATCGAGCATACTCAGGACATCCTTGTGTATATGTAAATAAATTCGCCTTGTTTTCATATAATAATTTTTTAATAATTTTGAAATTTTCAGCTTGTATTCGCTTTTTTTTCTTGTAATATTAAGTTATTTATTAAGTTATTTTTGTAAAATTACCTTGGCGTCATGTAAAGTCAAAGAGGCTTATTTATTATTTTTGTTTGAAAATGAAGGTTAAAAAATTTTTTTAAAAATCATTCGGATTCTTTTCATTTTATTTTTAAGGTTTTGTATTTTTTAAGTTTTTATTTAAATTTTGTAATATTTTATATTTTATTTGTATTATTATAAAGTTTGTTATCTTTTTAAGGCTTTGAAAATTTGCTTTATATTTATTTCCATAAGACTTCTTTTTTTTCAGATTTTATTTTGTTATTTTAATTTGCTTATATATTTTTTTAATGGTTCTAAATTTTGAATGCAATTTTCACGGCACTTCTTTATTTTTCTCATATTTTTTGCAAAAATTATTCTGTTATGTTTGCAAATTTTGAGCTCTTCTATTTGGAATAAATCACTTTAGTAGATGTGCTTTCTTATCAATAGTGCCTTTGTGTTTATTAGGTTTCCTAATATAAATAATCCTTTGTGGAATGATTTTCGAATGATCATTTATAGATTTTCATTGGATGAAAAGGGTGATTTATTAACAAAATTACTCCTTTCATATTCAATGAAAAATCACAGAAAAAATAAATTAGAAGAAAGAGAGGGGAATAGAATTTGCAACGATGTTTTTATGTGATGAATATTTTAAATTTTCTCAAATATTTTGTCATATTTTGATTTATTTATAGTATTTTTTAAAATATTTGCCGTTTTACTAAATCATTTTTTTTTTTTTTGTATTTTATTTTAATGGTTCGTTCATTTAAATAATTTTTCCACTGAAATAGAATCTTTTTTCGAATATTTATTTATTTTTTTAATAGGTTTAATTTTTCGTATTTTATTAGAATTCTTCTATTATTATCTATTTTTAATAACAGCTCATTTCAAGTTTAATTAGTGTATTTTCATTTTTCATTTTTTTAAATATTCATTTTAAGTTTGTATAAATAGATTTATAGTGATTTTTGCTTGCTCACTTTGCTTATTGTTATACCTTTTTATTTCCTTCTTATTTTCGCAAATAATTTATATTTTCTGTACTTAAATTTTATTAAATTTTATTTTGTGTCAATTTTCGTTCGCTTTTTTTTCTGATCAAAAAATGTTGTGGTGTTTCGCGAAGTTTGCAAATTTAGGAAATAATTATGAATTTATAAAAATTTGCTTTTTTACGCATATTTTTCACATTTTTGTTATTGGAAAAACGAAAAGATTAGCGAATAAATTTATGCCATTTTTCACGTATATAAATAAAAATATTAAGGAATTCGAACACTGAGAAAAAGAATTTGGCATCTGAAATTTGCGAAATCTAATTAGAAATCATAAAATTTTAGAAACAATTTCGAAATCATTGAATTTTCTCTTTTATTTAGTTTTAATTGAAAGTACGCGTATTTACATCGCGAATTTTAGCAATCATTCCATAATATATGTTTTTACTGATTTATAATGCCAGAAGAAGAAAATGATGAATAACACGAATAATTCAAATAATTCCCAAGCGAAGGCCGTTGAATGCGTACTTTTCTACAGTGTATTGTCGTTTTTATATTAAGGGCCAATTTGTAACACACTGATTATTAAAAATTTAGCTAAAATCCGTAAAATATTACAGAGATCCAAGAAAGGAAGAATGCTGATAAGCTTGTTCGATAGAAAATTATAGATGCAAGATTTAAACTGGCAGTTGCTAAATCTCTATTACATTTTAAACCTGTACAAGCGCAAAACAATTCTTCTTCTTCATTATCCATCCATTTATGAGTACAGCCAAGTTGCACCTGTAAATTTTTATAGTGTTAAGAACAGATAATTTTTCTCTATAATGAATACTTTTAATATTTCTATGACCAATAGTTTTATTAAGGTATTAATTTGATAACTCTTAATCTATTGAGATTTTTTAAAATCAATTGGATAAAATGATAATGATTAACATCGAAATGACCACTAAATAACCACTAGAAACCTATATCCAAAAATTCAAATTCAAAAATCATTGGATTTCCGAAATTGGTACCATCTATAAAATGGATTGGTAATGTCTTACCAAATCCCACCAAATAGATGATCTACCCAGTGGCCAGATTTTCGATGAATGACCTACCCAGTGGTCAGATTTTTTTCACTTTTAAGAAATATAAATAATTTTCTCCATTCATTGCTTTTATCACGATGTATTCAAATTTTGAAAAATCTTTGAACTAACATTTTTGCTATCAGTCACATTGATACATCCTTGTCGTTCAGTGATAATGGGAGTAATGTGCGTGCGATAATTATTACCAATAAGCATCCTTTGAGTAGCATATGTGCAAAAGTGACCAACACAAGTGTTCTGTTTGCAAGAAGCAATAAATGCTGTATCATGAGCACTCACTTCACAATTAACGCACTTTTGAAATACCGCATTTCGACTATAAATTTGCAAAAAATAGTGGAGTGTTGTTTCATTTTTTTTCTAAAAAGCATCTACTATTTCTGGTTAGATTCACTTTGTCGGTTTGTCGAATTAGATAAATTTAGCCAGAGATTCACTTGGGGATAGAGACCGATTGGTCATCAGCATCACCCAGATTTTTGAAAGCAGAAAGTAGGACTTTAACATCGGCTTTCCGAAATCAACAACGCATTAAATCATCTTATCCTCCTAATCACTGAATATCGGAAATGGTATTAATTGGTTCGACAGATCTATTCTTACTCTAGTTCTACAGATGATCTACTAACACGTCGTCGTCAATTTTGAAAGTTTAAATAAAAATTCATGTATAAAATAAAGTTTAAATTCTTAAAAATTGGTGAAATGCACTTCTAAATTTGATAATTTTATGGAGGTCTCCTTTTAGAATTGCGAAATCACTCACGTAAGACGTTTTAGATAATTAATTCAAAAAGTTCCCCATTCTATTATCAGTCTTAACGCAGTGAATCAGATATAAAATTCATTAATCAAAAAATAATGAAATTAATTGAAATTTAAGATTGTAAGTTTATCAAAATTAAACAAATTATTTAATTTGAATTCATGGCAGTTTGATCATTTTTTCAATGGCAAATTTAAGATTCTCTTCAAAAAGTAGGAATCGAATTCATTTTGTTCCTTAATAACGCTCCAGCAGGAAACAAGGGGATAAACTAGAAAATTCTAATCTTCGGTGGTGAAAAATTAGAAGATTCAGAATTTTTTAAAAAATACTCTATATAGTTGCGCAGAAGCAAATATCTATCAAATATCTATTCAATATATCTAATATTTAATTCATTTTGTGCATAACCAGCGATAAAGAATCTCTTGGTGCAAAAAAACCTTGGACCGATGAGTGATCGCACTTTTGTAGCACCATCCGTATTAGTCCAAGGATAATATGATCGATAGGCAGCATTACAGTTATTTGAATTACAAATACAATGTCTCCTTGATTTTCCATTGCCTCTTAAATGAAATATTTCATGGTAATTTCATATAATAATGATATTTGTCTTGCTTTCCTATATTAAAAAAATTAATGATCTATTTTTAATACCACCGAAAGAAATCCTATTATTATCAGCAATGGCATCGGATCGAGCTTGGAAATGTCTTATCTTTATAGTACAACCGACCTAACCAGTAATGGTGAGAGCTGTTAGAAGAAGAATACCACCGATTTTATGAATACAATAGGCAGCTCACCTTTGATTACGGACAAATAATGTTTTCTATCATATTAAAACCATATTAAAAATGCCTCAATGGAAAACTAAACAATAATTATAGACTCAACCTGCTGATTGTGACGCATAATCTTGTTCTATGCTCTAGTAATTCAGGACCTTTGTAAAAGTATGGCAATGAAGGAGGACCGTATCCACAGCCTGATGCTCCTAAATTAAATAAATACTTAGAATGTCCTGAAATCATCTATTTCATCATCTATAATCGCTTCAACTATTCGTTGAAATTTCATCGTAAAGCGATCAAAAAATTTCTAGTGAATAATATATTGAAACAAAATAAAAAATAGAAAAGTATTAACCTGTGGTAAAGTCCTCATGACACCATTGTCCTTGACAAATGTGCTCACAGTCTGGTTCTCGCTCCTGACAACTGCGACAAGTAATGTTGCGTCTATATACAGGCCGAATGTAAATCATATCATTACAAAAGTCACCTAAAATATTTTAAAAAATTTTCGATGCTTCTTTGACTTTTTGCTATCAATGCAATATTTCTTTAATTTGAAATCATGAAATTTTCGTTTTTTTAGCCGAGTAGTGTGATATATGATTAAATAAGATTTGCAAATATGTTAAATATCGTTTAACCTACAATAAATACTGAAATGATTGATAACACACTGAATTTTAGGTACAAATTTTTTATGCACAAATGCTCGTATTAAGAAACGAATTTTTGTTAAACTTGCCATATTTATACTTAACATTTCTGGCTAGGCTTTCTCCGCTGGCTTTTAATATTGTTAGACATATATATATATATATTATTTCGAGCTACAGATGTCAAAAACCCACGTAGCGACAATGTTCTTCGCCACTGATTGAAGAGTGCATCAAAAACGAGATAGACCAATAAGTCTGAGTTGATGCAGTCAGGAGAGATTTTATGAGCTATATGTAGGCTCAGAGGATCTTTCAGGCATAGCTTCAGATCGAACGACTTATTTTTGTAGCTAGTGGACCCATTCTAACCAGCAATGGCAGTTAAAAGAACAGATATTAATTATTGCCTTTGAAATAATTTTGGCTAAAACCATTCGTAAATCGATAAAGAAGATTCGAACTAACAGTTAACCTTATCAACAATTATCAACAAGGATCAGTTAATGAAGAAAATAAATCTTTAATCATCATTTCAGAGAGAAAAAGTGTGCCGTTGGTTTATAGGCAAAATAACGAATCAACAAAGAAATTCAACAAAGAGATTGTAATAATCAGATAACGTCTACTAACGATAATAAAAATGAAGCCGGTCTCAAGCCAATAATTTCACCATTACTGGTTAAACTTGCTCCATCTGCCTTGTCACATTGGGCAATATGCCAGGGAATCCCTTGGCGATAGAAATACAGGTAAGCCACCAGCATCACCCGGCCAATAGAGTGAGAATAAATCTTCTGAAATCCCTCATGATATGAAAGTCTATCAGCATGGCCAAACGAGATTGAAAAACAGGCCAAAGCAGTGGCTATTCGCTATTCGCCAGCATTATCAGTTTAAAAAAGTTAAAATCTAGAAGATAAAAATGACTATAGGTAGTCAATGAAAAAAATATCGAAAAATCTCAGAATTAATCACAGCCTTGGAAAAATCTTTTTGATGATGCTGCTAATCATCTTAATCTTCTTGAGGCTATAATTTTCATTCCACTTCTATATCTATCAAACAATATTTGAACAATGTTTGCACATTGTTTGATTAATTTAATTTTCGATGGAGAATTTTTTCGAAATAAATTCTTAAAGTAATTTCATTTTATTTATTTCTATTCATTTATAAAATTTAAAACATTATATTCGATACTTGAACCGAATAGACTTTTCTTTTGTTTCGTCACAAACTAATACAAAAGAAAAGAACTGATAAATAAGAACTTATAAGATTAACATAAAAATTGTTAAGACACTGCAAACCATCTATGCCAGTTTCGCGAATGATATATAACAAATGCTATACCACAGCCATTTTGCTCATAAATTATCATTCGTTTAATTATCATTAACTTGTCTCTTGAGAAAGTGTTCTATCACATGGAGTTGCAGCAGTGAAGAGTTAAATCTAATGAAAAAACTTCTTGAATTTTCAATTCACTTAAATTTATCGTGAAGAACAATTCTACTAATTCCAAAATTTCAAAAAATTTAGCAAAATTTTTAAATTGAGATAAGGCAAAAGCAAAGAGAGAAAATTTTTGAGGTTTTTGTTTTTATATAATTATATTTTTATTGTTCATCATTTTTTGCCATCATCCTTCAGAATCAGATATTCTTTAATGGATTCAATTTAATGGATTTTATATTATTTGATGTTTGAAATCGGTTAAAATTAATTGCCATCAATTGCTCCACTAAAGGCGAACGATTAGTATTTGCGTGTCATTTCTTTGGACAAAATGAATTTTGTTGCTAAATTCAAATAGAAGATGCTTGAAATGATCGCATGTTGAAATGAATGAAATGATTGAGTTTTCAAGCTCAGCTCAAATATCAATCTTAGATAGAAATCAAGAAATTATTATATTTTAATTTCTAAATATTATTTTAATAAGATGATAATTAATTAATTAGGAAATTGTGCAGCAGGTAATAATCGTTTATGGCCTCGATTAGCACCAAGAGACGCAAATCGTATTTCCTGGGCAAAAAAATATTTTAAATATATCAAACAATGCTAATTAAGGATAGGCATTTTATAGGCATTTAATAATTTATTAAAATCGCATATCCTGCAATATTAAAATTTTTTTTTCAACAATTTCTTCAATATTTTTATAAATAATATATAATAAAATTAATAATAGATGGATTAATTACCTGTACATACGCATAAAATATGGTCGCGAAAATGGTCATAATCGCATCCAGTTTGCGTCCTTGATGGTCGCTTTAAACATCCTTTTGTGATTCGATAACGTCCCTGTACGTCTGTTGGTTTTCGCTCGATAAAACAGTAATCAGATTCACAGGAGCCCATCTGTTTATAAAAAAAAATTGAATTTAGTAAAAAAGTATAGATTTTTAATTAAATTAAATAAATTAATCGTATGGGATAGAACGGCTCGGTGGATGTGAGGGCTCTCAAAAGAAAAAAATTAATCGTACAGGATAAATATTAAAATATTGCGAAAAATTTTTTCAGAAACTGTTTTAAAAGAATCGTCCCAGATTGTTAAAAACTGAAAAATTATTGCATTAGCTTCAGATTGATCGAGTATTTTGTTATTCCGATTGATTATTGTTACTCTACGGGAGTTATCATTAAAAGTGAAATATTATTGCAAGCCCCATTATTTTTCCCCTATGGAAATATCCCATCGTGGTTATAGGTGCGATAAAGTAAACTATCGCTATTCTATAATTATCGTTATTAGAATGACTCGGTGGGTTGTTGTTCAATTCGAAGTTCTGCTCCTCGCTGAAGTAAACCTGTCAAAAAATCCACGTGATGCTGGCGACTCACCTATGTTTCTATCGCCAATAGATTCTGTCGCATATTTGCCTAGTGCGGCAAGCCAGTGAAGCGAGTCTAACCACTAATGGTAAGGGTTCTTTAAAAAAAAATTCACTTATAATTATTGAGAAAAAATTTGATATCCGATAAGCGTTGCTAAATACTCAGCTAAGAAAGTTATCACAATAGCTTTTTTCAATCCCTTCGATCCCTTAAAGATTATTTTCATTCAATGAGAATTAAAAAAATAAAATTTAATGATTTCCCTCCTAATTGAAATTCCAATAGAAGTAAATATTCAGAAATCTTTTATATAAAATTATAAAAATTAATTTCGAGAGAAAACTAATTTGTTTTTCCACTTTTAAAAATGTCATTAGAAAGAGAAAAAATTTTCCACGAAATATTTGAATGAGAATGAAATAAAACGAAACATTTTCTCAGCATTCCAGCATCGAAATGTATTTTAAAAATTAAATTGCATTAATAAGTATCGCTAAAAAATTAATATAAAAAAAAGAACAAAAATTTTGTAATCTCATATAAGTTAATTAATTTTTTAAAAACTAATCACCATATCAGGTAATTTACATTAGAATGATGTGAAGCGTTATTAATAAAAAAAAAAGCATAACGAATTTGAATATAGGTTAAACAATCAAAAATATAGAATTAGACGAAGCTAGAATTTTAAATAAATAACCTGACAATTGCAAGGTTCGTTAAAGCAAGTTCCAGCACAAGAATAACATTTAGAAAGTACGCCAGTAAAATTGAAAGCTGTTAACAGCATACAAATTATGCGCATCTCAGTGACGGCAAGGCATCATTCCGTTTCAACTGGGCGATTTTACTTGAATGTCGATCACTTTTTTTTTTTACACTTAAACACCTTCAATATAATGATTTTTATTAAAGATAATTAATTATTTTTAATTGCATTAAAACGTATATGTCATAAGATGCTTAAAATCACCGGAAAAGACTAAAAGTGCTAAAAGCTTAAAGTACAACTTTTTTTTTCGTATTTCAACAATGAACCAAGCATGATAAAAAACTGCTTATGAAAATAAATCTAAAATTGTCAATTAAGGGAATATATAATTTAAAGGAATATCAATTCTTTATATTAGTGTCATAAATTCCATTCTTTTAAACACTATCTTTCGTAAAGAAACAAAATGATATGACAAGTCGTGAACTCTAAAAATCTCTCTTAATCTGAAAGAATTTATTAATTTTTTAGAAGACTTCTGTTTGATCGGCCTGTAAAACCAGCAGATAGCCTATTAAAAGATTCAAGCACTTTTTTAAATGGCTAATTTTTTTAAAAAAATAGAGTTAAACTATTATTTAAATCTTCTTGCCACTGTGATGCGATATTAATTTGGTAAGTTTCAGCGAAATTTCAGCTTTTCCAGATAACAATGTTAATAACTCAGAATAATTATTCAGCTAGTTGCACGCAATTATTTCATGGGCCAAATAAATAAACAAGAAAGTTTTGCCATCGTTTTATCTAACTTTATTTAGCATAAATTTTAAAATCATTTTCACTGAGTTTTTTTTTTTTCAGTAAACAAAAATTTTAATGGAAAGCATCCGGCGAATAATGAGGTTATCGATGAAAGGCAATTAATTTCCAATATTTGATGTATTTCCTCTTTTTACAGTTTTTTCCTCCATCTTTTTCCTCAAGAAATTCAAACTTCCCCATTGTTGTAATACGCACTATACAGAAGTTATTGTGTTGTTTCAGTTAAATATTTATTAGCTTGAGAGAAAAACGAGCAATATTATATGATAAACCAGGTTTAATTACTCAAGTTTGAGGCTTTTGATAAGGATGACGTGAAACGTCACACACTTATATATTGTTATTACACTATTTCTCTTTCTGAGCTAAACCTTCTAAAGCCAATAAATATTTAATTAAAACACCTTTTGCCTATATGAAAATTTCAAAAATACGCAGTTGTACCAAAAGAATATTAAAATATTGGATATAAGGCCAATATGAATTGAATATTTTAGGAAAAGTGCAATACACTTAGTAAATAATCTACGATTGCAATTCAACAAAAAATTAATTATACTACGATTTATAATAAAATTAATTAGTATAAATGACATGCAATATAAGCCTAAAATGAAAGAAAAGGCAATAAGGCAATAATAACACTAAACTGGTTATTTCTAACGAACAAAGCATTTCTTTTAACTTCATCCGCCATTTGTAGTTTGTGCAAGGTATTTTCGCGAGAGAGAAGCTCGGGAATAGAAGTACAAATAGGTTAACCGTTTCTCATCATTAATGATAGCTTATCCTCATGTCAAATGACTGGAATCGAGCCTATGATACTTGACTTGAATCGAAATAATAAGTCACTGGATCGTTTGGTCCTTATTTCACTTGCAGCATTACCCAAGAGAGAGATATTTCTAAGGGCTGAAAGGGCTGTATAAATGCGCTGATTTAGCTCAAATAGAAAGGAGAAGATACTTTGAACGCAGCAATTAGCTCGACCATTTTTTTCACCAAGTTTTGTCACTCCCCCCCCCCCCCCCCCCCCCCCCCCGCTTCCTCTCTCGCAAGTTTTTGAACGAATTCTGATTATTATAGATATTATTTTTCACTATTTTTTTCATTCTAAAGACTTGAAGTCCATGAATATTTCCGCAATCTTTTAAAACGATAGCAATGAGCAGAGAGACAATTTATACATAAAACTTGACCTCTAATTAATTTGTTGATTTAAAGAACAGCCTATTTAATCGCATATACATATTAATAGCATTAGAAATATACCTAACGGATAAAATGGACAAATATGGAAGCTATAGCCGATCTCCGTCGTTCTTTAGCCCGATTTAAGGCAAAATTTCCCTAAATTTTATTGAGTTGTTCGAGAAACTAATCTAGAAATGCAATATTGGAAGGCAATAAATAAAAGCCAATTACGAATGCCAGGATGACTTTAAAGTCAAATGATAAAGGAAAAAAAGCTATGAATATGATGCTAAACGGCAAAGAAGCTGCCAGAAATGCTTGTTTTTTGAACCAAGATTTATCATCGAATTGATCTAATGAGCGGCTGTTGCTTTACAATTATTACCACACAATTGGCAGATTTATCGAAAATTCTTACAAAAAATCCTTATAGATCTTTAACTATTTATTTATTTTTATATAAGCTTATCTATTTTTTTTAAATATTCTAATATTCCTTTTTTTTATTCCTATTCCTCTATTCCTCTTCCCATGCAAACACACAGCTTTGCTCACATTGCTTATTATAATATATAGACGAATAAATAAAATTATGGCACAATCGTTTATTCCATTATTGTTAATTTCCATCTTTTATTTAATGTGCAAATTACTGAAAAATTCAAACTTATAATATATTGCAATTGACAAATGCAGTAAAATATTTCTTTCAGAAAATGAGGTAAAACAAAGAAGCAAAAGTATAGTGTTTTTTTATGAGCACTCACCATTTCTGTTGGTTCAGCTCGCTTCATTAACTTGTCGGACCAGGCAAATTGAGTAAGAGATGGCATTTGGTTGTGGAACTACAGATGATTTGCCAACAATACGTGGCGTTTGGCGATAGAAGTATAGATGAGCGATCAGCAATAGGCGAATAAGTAAAAATTGTATTATTCACCATTTCTTCAAGGAATTTTTAACAGTTTTTTTTTTTGCTGATTCACTGATTTGATGAGTTGATTATGGATTAAGCGATAATAATGTTATGTATATAATCCCTTTTTAATCTATTTAAAAAAAATAATCTCTCGTTTTTTGAAGAAAAAATCTCTTAATCGATTTATTTAAGTGAAAAATATTTCCGCAGTTTTTTTTTCGAAATAAAAATAAATATTATCCATTAAAGGTTTTGAAAATTTAACAGCAGCGCTATAGGCCAACCTGTAGCAGTTGAACTCATCTCATTAAAGATTTATTATTGTTTGTCTAATATAATAATTTCTCTAATCGGCGTAAAATCTTTTGGTACTTTGACAATTTATGAATATTTCACCTGATCAGTTTTCGAAATCTTTTGCCTTTAGGACAATTTATTGGAGAAGTGCAATTTTCGCGCTGAATTTCCCGACTTAGATTTGCATTCACTTTTAAGCTTTTTTTTTTAAATAAAATTTATACGTATAAATTTTTGCAATTTTAGTCTAATATTACTAATATTGCTCATACATATTGGATGTGCACAGCAAAAATTTAAGGATATTATTTTTAAGATTAATAAAATAAAAATAAACGAAATAAGCATGTGTAAGAAATGAATAATTCAAATATTGGATAAATTTTTTTAAAGGGGTAATAAAGAAACGGCGTAAAAGATAATTGAAGATCTTTAAATAAATATCAGCAATTTAAATGAAAAAGTATACAGGAAATTAATTTTCAAAGTCTTCGACTGTCATTCGATTTAATGATTTTTGACAAGTAAACACTCGCGGAAACTGCGCCAAAAAGATAGATTAGAGATAAATTAATA